CACATTATTAACATTTCTTGTGTTAGACATTTTATTTTTTCTTTGAAATTTTAATCAAATGTTTGTCTACGTGCAATAGTCTTCTCCACAAAATTTCAACATTCTACGCCTACTCCTTCTAGGTGGTGCATTTTATTTGAAACGCAGTGTATATTGTAAAATTTGGAGCTTGCGTCATTTCAATGTTCGTGACAAATTTTGGTGAAAATTGAGTGCATTGAGGGTGTGGATCTGTCTTATACATTTGATTTTACACTGCAGCCCAATCCACAAGAACTGACTTTCACGATTGTATAAATTTGATCTGTTAAATCACAGGATACAGGAATCGTCGTGTTGCAACAGTTATTATAGACAAATTTGTTTAATTTAGGTGAATTTAAATTTCAAGAATCGAACGAGTATATCTAGACACATTAAAGTGGACCCAAAAACATATTAAACTTAACAAGCTTGAAAATCAAATTACCACTTCCGCTAATTAACATTTCCCTGACACCACGCGTCGAATTTGCATTTTAAGGTTATCGCATTTAGTTCTGCAGCAGGTGTAAAAAAAGTGCAAGTAATACAATGTTCTCTTATTTAATTCCTCGTTAAATTAAAAATAATGTAAAAGTACATATGCGTTTTCAGTTCAAGATAATTGCCACAGACGATGCGAATTTAAACTTACATTTTTTTTAATTTGTATTGCAAAAAAACCAGTTATCGGTCGTTTGTAAGTATATAAAGCAGTTTTGTTTACGATATTGCCTAAAAGCTGAAAGTGGTTGGTTTTAAGTAGAAAATAAACAGTAAGTAATAAGCACCAGAATTTCACTAATTTGCTTCCCTAACTTACTCTATTTGTTCTAGTGGTCGCAGCAACTATAGCTATTTTAGCAGTTATTATAATCTTTATCTATATATTTCCCGAATTCCATAGGTCTCCTCCAGGACCTTTGAATTTACCACTGCTTGGCTCTCTCACCAAAATAGACCAAAAATTACCCACTTTAACTTTTATAAAACTAAAACAAAAGTACGGACCCATCTACAATGTAAAATTTGGTTTGACGAATATTGTAGTCATATCTGAAGCAACATTGTTAAAAGACATTTTGCTCAGACATGATTGTCTTCCGCGACCACCGTGTCACATTTTCAACAAAATTTTTCATAATAAAGGTATCTATCTACTTATTTAGAGGTACTACCACCAATTAATTGTATTCTTCTATTAGGAATTTCTTATAGAACCCATGACCTGTGGAAAAACCAGCACAAATTTATTAGAAACTTCATAAAAACTTCCAAGGTACCACTTGAAAATCAAATACAGAAATCTGCTGCGGAATTCGTCCAAGTAACAAAGTTCAAACTATATTGTTAATAATGAAATTAATTTGTTGTTGTCTAGAATGTCCAAAACCAAGGACATCTTGTACCTTTGCACCCAGTTGAAGCTATAACGCGCTATGTAGTTGATATCATGGGGACTGTATGTTTGGGCATTCTTAACTACGACGATGCCTTGATCAAAACCCTATCACATAGCTTCAACCAACTTCTCTCCGGCGCTAGTACTGTAATTACAACAACTTCCATACAGTGGAATCTATTGTATCTAGCACAGCACCAAGAAATCCAAAATCAAGTACGCCAAGAACTCCACGATGTTCTACACGGAAAAACCCTTCACATAGATGACTTATCAAAACTGCCTTACACACAAGCAACTGTTGCCGAAGTGGGTAGAATTAGAACGCTGCTACCGCTAGGATTTCCTCGTTATACTTCACAAAATATGGTATTTCTAAATTACACTATACCAGCAAGTACCATGATAGTACCGCTGCTATGGGGCATTCATATGGATCCAGATGTTTGGAAGATGCCTGAGGAGTTTCGTCCTGGTAGATTTTTGAATGACGGTGGACACTTTTTTCAACCGAAATCATTCCTGCCGTACCAAGCTGGTAAAATATGACTCACAAGTATATATATATATATTTTGTCATGGTTCTGTTTCAGGTGAAAGGATGTGTGTTGGTAAAGATTTAGCTAATATAATGGTAGTTTTCTTTATTGCAACTGTTGTACAGAACTTTAAAATTGAGGGTTTAGAGTCGGGTTCTGTGGATCTGTCGTATGAGTGGAGTTTCCTGACCCTGCCAAAGCCACAAGAACTGGTGTTTGTGAAGTTGTAAATAATTTGACTGATACTGTTTGATATTAAGTCGATCATAAATAGAATAAAACAGTAAAGATTTGTTTCACCCATTTGTTATATTTTTGGTTTTTCCAGTTTCCATGACGAGTGATTTACCCGTCGGTCCTCTATTTGTCTGTGACGATTTTTACTAGACAGATAATTTGCGAAATTGTTGGACCGTTTGGTATCGAATTCTATGAATGTGCCTTGCAAAAATATAGATGACATTAATACAAAATTTTGTAACTTCATGGACGAGAGATGTTTTGCCGAAGTAATTTTCAACCAATTTTTTTTGTTTTGTTTTGGAGTTTAGAGAACAAATTACTCTTTTGAGAGAACCATTTACAAAAATAATAATAATTAATTATTGTTCATTAGTTTGTGAGGTTATGCAAACCCCTGTTAAAGTGGACTTGCCTGAGCCAGTATTATTATGTGTTGGCTAATAGAAGAAAGATTCAAGAACAAGGACGCACTTTAATCGTTAATAATTAATAATGCACATAAATCAATATTTTTTTAACGCATATTCTTGCCGAGTAGTATTACATAGTACAGCAGGTTTAATTCCGTTTCAATTTCTAGAATTTTCCTTGCAATGTCAATACAACACCGTGCATGGTAACAGCAGAAATAAATTGTCACTAAAACACCAAAAAAGTACTTAAATCATTTTTAAATATTTATACATAAAATATCAATGTATTGTAATTTTCATTTCAGATGACTTAATTAATCCTTGTTTCGTTAGCACTATTAATACTTATAGCTACATACATATATTATCGCCATCAAAATTACCTCCCAGGCCCATGGAACTTACCAGTAATTGGTTATTTACCCAAAATAGATCCAAAAGCGCCTCATTTGTCGTTTTTAAAACTCGCCCAAAAATATGGTCGAATCTATAGACTAAAGCTTGGATCGTTCAACACCGTATTCATCTCTGACGCAAAATTACTAAAACAAGTGTTAATGAAGGATGCAACTCTTTCAGGACCACCTCTTCATCTCTTAGGCATTATATTCGGAGATAAAGGTAAAATGGAACAAGAACTATAAGCTCGAAATATTTTTTATGACCACTAGGAATCATATACTCTTCTTCTGATGTATGGAAAGATCAAAGAAAATTTGTAAGTAATTTCTTAAGAGTGTCAGGTGCTACCAAAATGTCCCCAAACTAAGAAGCGTTAGAAAATCAAATGAAACAAACTGTTTAAGATTTTATCCAAGTAAGCGAACAAATTTATACTTGAACGACCCAGTACAGACTTTCTTTTTGCACTAGTATGTCCAAAATCAAGGTAATGCTGTGACGTTAAATCCATCAGAAGCTGTAACAAACTATGTCTCTGACATAAGCAGCAGTTTAATTTTAGGTACACGTGACAGTAAATTAGAGAAAATTCTGACACATAATTTCTTTAAAATAGTAAAACAATATCAAGTCTCTGGACCAGTGAATTTCTTACCACTTTTGCGGTATATTTTAAACGAACCTAACCGACACTGTTAAATTTTATTTACTTTCAGTTTTCTACCAAAATACAGAAAGGGCGTAAAGTTACTTCAAGATTTAGTGAACGAAATTTTTACCACACTTAACAAAATCGTCTATCAAAATGAAAAAACCAACAACGATAAGAAATTAATGAGTATAGCTGATACATTCATGTTGGATAAATCTGTGGACAAAGTATTCAATATTGACCGACTGTAACTTTTATCTAATATGTTCGGTGCTTCTACTGAAACTACCATTAGTTCGATATTGTGGGTATTGCTGTACGGCACACTTCAAAGAAGTCCAAAATAAAGTTCGAAAAGAACTTAGGGATATTCTCCAAGATAAACCTTCACAGATAGGTGATTTACCAAAACTGCCATATACGGAAGCCACTTTAGCTGAAGTAGCTAGAATAAGATCTTTATTTCCGTTGGGATTTCCTCATTATACCACTGACGATATATGCGTAGAAAATGTGAAAATTCCGAAAAATACTGTCATAATGCCGTTCCTGTGGGCGATCCACATGGACCCAAAATATGGCGAAGTCCTGAAGAGTTTTGTCCTGAACGATTTTTAAATGACGAAGGAAAATTTTACCAACCTGAATCGTTCCTTCCGTTTCAAGCTGGTAAAATAGGTGTTTTATGAAAATCAAGAGTTTCATAACCATGTTTCAGGCAAAAGGGTTTGTGTTGGTAAAGATGTGGCAAGTATGATGATCTTTATTTTTGTGGCAACTGTCTTACAGAAATTTAAATTGGAGGGTTGTAACGATTCAGGTTCTGTTGATCTGTCCTACGATTGTGGTATAACCACAATTCCTAAACCACAAGATCTGATTTTTCTGAAGATATAGAAGGAACTTTAATGTGACAATGTATGTACCTATATCTGGTTTTGATTATTTTGTTATTATCATATTAAATGGGTTTATGGCATTATTATGAATTATTATTAATAAAATAATAAAGCAACTTATTTGTTTCAATTTATGGAAAAACAGACAACAATTACAATGTTTTCCTCTTCCTAGAAATAATTGTATATTTTCCGATAAGTTTATGGACGAAGTACAAGGTTTCTCTATGTTTTTAATTATAGAATCTGTTTACAGCGCTTGAATATTTTGTAAAAAAAAAACTTTTCCTGATAGAACGGAGAAAAAAAACTAATAAACTAAAAAATGACTTGTATTACACTGCAACAATAAAAGTTGCAAAAATCTTGCGATTAAAATCGGAGAAAACACCACAAACCTGTTCCAAGATTTAATCCTTGAAATTTAGTGTTTTGCATTCAAATATTATTAGTGCATTGCAGTGACCAAGTTTGAGTAAACATATTTAGATAGTTTTGCTGAGGTATAAACACATACGTCCACACTTGGTCCGTTTAGAGTTTTTTCTAGATGTTGGTAACACTACTCGTCACAATTATCACACTCCTATTTTTCCTATACAAATTCTACAACTAGAGAAAAAACCCTCCAGGGCCTTGGAACTTACCAATAATAGGATATCTACACAATTTTTTTTTTTTTTTGGTTGCAGGAACCTTAACGTATGGAAAGAAAAACGCAAACTCGTCAACAACTTTCTAAGAACGTGTGTCTCCAAAGGGTCACCAAATAAAGAAACCTTGGAAGATCAAATAAGAAAGCATGCCGAAGAATTTATTCACGTAAGGCAATTGTGACTCTCTTTTCAACACTTTCTGGATTTTTTTTAACTATAGTACATTCGAAATCAGGGAACATTAAATTCTTTAGAAGCCACAGCTCACTATGTCACTAGTACCACACGTTCCCTAATTTTGGGCACATCGTTCACGCTTGAAGACAAAACAAGACAAACTATAATAAAGAACATCCAAGGTGCAATGAGGTTAGGTCCTTTGGACGGTCCTTTAAATTTTGCTTTTTTTTAATAGCTTTTTAGTCACCTCGTTTTACTCTTTGTTTTTGCTGCCTTTTTACGATTTTTTAGCTCCTCTTTTGTGGAGTTTTTATCACCTTTTTCTTTTTTGTTACTTTTTTTATGCAGCTTTGGTTTGCGGTTTTTAAACGTTGGTACTTTTCTCGGCTTTTTTTGTCGCATTTTCACCATCTTATTTGTCGCTATCATTTATTTTTACCTTTTTTACTTTTCTCTTTCTAGTTTTTTTGTTAACTTTTTTTAGTCGCTCTTGTTTTGTCGCATATTTGGTGCTTTTTACAAATTTTTGTCGCTTTTTTAGTGTTTTTTTTTCCATCTTTTTGTTGTCATCTTATTTTTGTTGGCTTTCTACTGTTTTTTTTACGTTTTTCATCCCATTTTTATCTTTCTTTTCCGGCTCTTTTTGTAGTCTTCTTTAAGTCTTTAATGGCAATTCATTTGTCGTGTTTTTTTTTGGGGTCATTTTCTCCATATTTTAAGCCTTTTATTCGGTTATTGTTACTTTTTTAACACTTTGTCCTTTTTTTTGTAGCATGTTTTAGTCGCCTTAAGGAGTTTTTTAATCGTTTTTTTGTCACTTCGTTTTAATCTTTTTTTACTCTTTTGGGAAAAAATGTTCAAAAATAATAAAAATTAATTATTGTTCGTGAGGTTCTGCAAACTCCTGTTAAAGTCGACTGGCCTGTGTCTGTATTATTATTATATGTTGGCTAATGGAAGAAAGATTCAAGAATAAGGACGCACTTTAATCGTGAGTAATTAATAAAGCTGTAAATAAATCAATACTTAATTCAATATCTTTTGACGCAAATCCTTACCGCGTAGTATTACATAGTACAACAGGTTTATCTGCGTTTCAATTTCTAGAATTTTCATTGCAATGTCAATACAACACTGTGCATGGTAACAGCAGGAAAAAATTGTCACTAAAACACCAACAAAGTAAATCATTTTTAAACGTTTATACATAAAATATCAATGTATTGTAACTTTCATTCCAGATGACTGAATTAATCGTCGTTTCGTTAGCACTATTAATACTTATAGCTACATACATATATTATCGCCATCAAAATTACCTCCCAGGCCCATGGAACTTACCAGTAATTGGTTATTTACACAAGATAGATCCAAAAGTGCCTCATTTGTCGTTTTTAAAACTCACCCAAAAATATGGTCCAGTCTATAGGGTAAAGCTTGGATTGTTTAACACCGTATTCATCTCTGATGTAAAATTACTAAAGCAAGTGTTAATGAAGGAAGCAACTATTTCAAGACCACCTCTTCATCTCTTTGAAATTATATTTGGAGATAAAGGTAAAATGGAACTAGAACCATAAGCTTGAAATATTTTTATGACCACTAGGAATCATATACTCTTCTTCTGATGTATGGAAAGATCAAAGAAAATTTGTAAGTAACTTCTTAAGAGTGTCAGGTGCCACCAAAATGTCCCCAAACAAAGAAGCTTTAGAAAATCAATTGAAACAAAGTGTTCAAGATTTTATCCAAGTAAGCGAACAAACCTATAATTGAACCACTTAGTACAGACTTTTTTGTTGCATTAGTATGTCCAAAATCAACGTAATCCTGCGACGTTAAATCCAACAGAAGCTGTAATAAATTATGTAACTGACATAACTAGCAGCTTAATTTTAGGGACACGTAATAGTAAATTAGTGAAAATTCTAACACATAAGGTCGATAAAGTAATAAAACAATGTCAGGTCACTGGACCAGTGAATTTCTTACCATTTTTGCGGTATACTTTAAAAAACCTAACCGATACAGTTTAATTTTATTTACTTTCAGTTTTCTACCAAAATATAGAAAGGGCGTAAAATCAATTCGAGACTCAATGACCGAAATTTTTAACATATATGACAAAATCGTCTGTGAAAATGAAAAAACCAACAACGATAACAAATTAACGAATCTTGTCGACACACTTATATTGGATAAATCTGTGGACAAAGCGTGCAGTATAGATCAACTGCATATTTTATCTAACATGTTCGGTGCTTCTACTGAAACTACCATTACTACGATAGTGTGGGGTTTGCTGTACTTGGCGCACTTCAAAGAAGTCCAAAACAAAATTCGAAAAGAACTTTGGGATATTCTTCAAGACAAACCTCCACAGATAGGTGATTTACCAAAACTGCCATATATGGAAGCCACTTTAGCTGAAGTAACAAGAATAAGGTCTTTATTTCCGTTGGGTTTTCCTCATTATACCACTGACGATGTATGTGTGGAAAATGTGACAATTCCGAAAAATACTGTCATAATGCCGTTCTTGTGGGCGATCCATATGGATCCAAAAGCATGGCGGAACCCTGAAGAGTTTTGTCCTGAACGATTTTTGAACGACGAAGGAAAATTTTACCAACCTGAATCATTCCTTCCGTTTCAATCTGGTAAAATATGTGTATTATGAAAATCAACGGTTTTATAACCGCGTTTTAGGTAAAAGGATATGTGCTGGTAAAGATGTGGCAACTATGATGGTCTTTATGTTTGTGGCAACTGTCTTACAGGAATTTAAATTGGAGGGTTGTAACGGTTCAGGTTCTGTAGATCTGTCTTATGATTGTGGTTTAACCACAACTCCTAAACCACAAGATCTGATTTTTGTGAAGATATAGAAAGGAATTTAGTGTGAGAACACTTGTGTCTATATCTGGTTTTGACTATTTTGTTATTAACATAATATATGGGTTTACGGTATTATTGTGAATAATTAATAAAATAATAAAGCAAATTATTTGTTTCAATTTATGTGACTAGGTACTAGTTCTATTAAGGTTAAATTTGGAAATTTTGTATTAAGTTTGTGTAGATATGTAGTCTATTATTGGTAAGATCCAAGGACCTGTGTGTTTATACCTCAGCAAGGCTACTTAAATATGTTTACTCAAACTTGGTCACTGCAATGCACAAATAATATTTGAATATAGGATACTAAATTTCAAGGATTAAGTCTTGGAACAGGTTTGTAGTGTTTTCTTTTATGTTAAAATCGCAAGATTTTTGTATCTTTTATTGTTGCAGTGTAATACAAATCATTTTTTAGTTTATTAGTCTTTTTCTCTATGTTCTATCAGGAAAAGTTTTTTTTTACAGAATATTCAAGTGTTTGCGCTGTAAACAGATTATATAATTAAAAACATAGACAAACCTTGTACTTCGTCCATAAACTTAATGGAAAAAATACAGTTATTTTTAACAAGACGAAAACATTGTAATTGTTGTCTGTTTTTGCATAAATTGAAACAAATAATTTGCTTTATTATTTTATTAATTATTCATAATAATACCGTAAACCCACATATTATGTTAATAAAAAAATAATCAAAACCAGGAATAGATACAAATTTTCTCACACTAAATTTTTTTCTATATCTTCACAAAAATCAGATCTTGTGGTTTAGGAATTGTGGTTATACCACAATCGTAGGACAGATCTACAGAACCCGAATCGTTACAACCCTCCAATTTAAATTTCTGTAAGACAGTTGCCACAAAAGTAAAGATCATCATACTTGCCACATCTTTACCAACACAAACCCTTTTGCCTGAAACAAGGTTATGAAACCGTTGATTTTCACAAAACACCTATTTTACCAGCTTGAAACGGAAGGAACGATTCAGGTTGAAAAAATTTTCCTTCGTCATTTAAAAATCGTTCTGGACAAAACTCTTCAGGGTTTCGCCATACTTTTGGATCCATGTGGATCGCCCACAGCAACGGCATTATGACAGTATTTTTCGGAATTTTCACATTTTCTACACATACATCGTCAGTGGTATAATGAGGAAAACCCAACGGAAATAAAGATCGTATTCTAGCTACTTCAGCTAAAGTGGCTTCCGTATATGGCAGTTTTGGTAAATCACCTATCTGTGAAGGTTTATCTTGGAGAATATCCCAAAGTTCTTTTCGAACTTTATTTTGGACTTCTTTGAAGTGTGCCAAGTAGAGCAAAACCCACAATATCGAACTAATGGTAGTTTCGGTAGAAGCACCGAACATATTAGATAAAAGTTGCAGTTGGTCAATATTGAATACTTTGTCTACAGATTTATCCAACATGAACGTATCAACTATATTCATTAATTTCTTATCGTTGTTGGTTTTTTCATTTTGACAGACGATTTTGTTAAGTGTGGTAAAAATTTCGTTCACTAAATCATGAAGTAACTTTACGCCCTTTCTGTATTTTGGTAGAAAACTGAAAGTAAATAAAATTAAACTGTGTCGGTTAGAATCGTTTAAAATATACCGCAAAAATGGTAAGAAATTCACTGGTCCAGAGACTTGATATTGTTTTACTATTTTAAAGAAATTATGTGTCAGAATTTTCTCTAATTTCCTGTCACGTCTACCTAAAATTAAGCTGCTGCTTATGTCAGAGACATAGTTTGTTACAGCTTCTGATGGATTTAACGTCACAGAATTACCTCGGTTTTGGAAATACTAGTGCAACAAGAAAGTCTGTACTGGGTGGTTCAATTATAAATTTGTTTGCTTACTTGGATAACATCTTGAACACTTTGTTTCATTTGATTTTCTAACGCTTCTTTGTTTGGGGACATTTTGGTAGCACCTGAGACTCTTAAAAAATTACTTACAAATTTTCTTTGATCTTTCCATATATCAGAAGAAGAGTATATGATTCCTAGTGGTCATAAAAAATATTTCGGGCTTATAGTTCTAGTTCCATTTTACCTTTATCTCCAAATATAATGCCCAAGAGATGAAGAGGTGGTCTTGAAAGAGTTGCATCCTTCATTAACACTTGTTTTAGTAATTTTGCGTCAGAGATGAATACGGTGTTAAACGATCCAAGCTTTAGTCTGTAGACTGGACCATATTTTTGGGCGAGTTTTAAAAACGACAAATGAGGCGCTTTGGTATCTATTTTGTGTAAATAACCAATTACTGGTAAGTTCCATGGGCCTGGGAGGTAATTTTGATGGCGATAAAATATGTATGTAGCTATAAGTATTAACAGTGCTAACGAAACAAGAATTAATTCAGTCATGTGAAATGAAAATTACAATACATTGATATTTTATGTATAAATATTTAAAAATGATTACTTTGTTGGTGTTTTAGTGACAATTTATTTCTGCTGTTACCATGCACGGTGTTGTATTGACATTGCAAGGAAAATTCTAGAAATTGAAATGGAATTAAACCTGCTGTACTATGTAATACTACTCGGCAAGAATATGCGTTAAATAATATTGATTTATATGCATTATTATTTATTATCGATTTAAGTGCGTCCTTGTTCTTGAATCTTTCTTCTATTAGCCAACACATAATAATACTGGCTCAGGCAAGTCCACTTTAACAGGGGTTTGCATAACCTCACAAACTAATGAACAAGAATTAATTATTATTATTTTTGAAAATGGTTCTCTCAAAAGAGTAATTTGTTCTCTAAACTCCAAAACAAAACAAAAAAAATTGGTTGAAATTTACTTCGGCAAAACTTGTCTTGTCCATGAAGTTACAAAATTTTAATGTCATTTATATTTTTGCAAGGCACATTCATAGAATTTGATACCAAGCTGTCCAGCAATTTCGGAAATTATCTGTCTAGTAAAAATCGTCACAGACAGACAGCCGACCGACAGGTAAATCACACGTCATGGAAGCTGGAAAAACCGAGAATATAACAAATGGGTGAAACAAATCTTTATTGTTTAATTCTATTTTTCTACCGCCCACGTTTTTTGGTTTTCTAATAGAGCTATTAACGCACGCAAATGACGTCACAGCAGTTCGTTAATAGCGGAAAGGCGTTCTTTAATAGATCTGGTGTAATTTAGATCCATAAGATTGGTAGCAATGACGAGAAATGTCAGGTGAATGTCAGTGGCAAATCTAAACTTAAAATTTCCCACGTTTCCGGACGCGTAACTTCTTCGCAAGACATTTTAACCAATTTTAAATTACGAAAACTCGAATTGATTCGAATTACAATTGTTGTTGTGAAAATTCGAACCTCAAATATTTCGTGGTTAGTGTCAGACCAACCCATCACCAACCACGACAAAAGTCCCCAGATTAAAAAAAGTGCAAATTTTAATTAAATTTTGGGAAAAAACGTGTGCGGTAGAAAAAATAGTATAAATAACTCGTTCATAAGGCCATTGAGGCACTCATCCTTTATATAACTCGCGGCTTCGCCGCTCGTTCTATAAACTTGGATTCGTGCCTCAATATTTGCCTTATGAAACTCGTTCTTTAATATACTATTATGATCGACTTAATATCAAACAGTATCAGTCAAATTATTTACAACTTTACAAACACCAGTTCTTGGGGCTTTGGTAGAGTCAGGAAACTCCACTCATACGACAGATCCACAGAACCCGACTCTAAACCCTCAATTTTAAAGTTCTGTACAACAGTTGCAACAAAAAAAACTACCATTATATTAGCTAAATCTTTACCAACACACATCCTTTCACCTGAAACAGAACCATTACCAAACACATTGTCTTGCGAATCATATTTTACCAGCTTGGTACGGCAGGAATGACTCCGGTTGAAAAAAGTGTCCAGCGTCATTCAAAAACCGACCAGGACGAAACTCTTCAGGCATCTTCCAAACACCTGGATCCATATGAATGCCCCATAGTAGCGGTACTATCATGGTACTTGCTGGTATAGCGTAATTTAGAAACACCATATTTTGTGAAGTTTAACGAGGAAATCCTAGCGGTAGCAGCGTTTTAATTCTACCCACTTCGGCAACAGTTGCTTGTGTGTAAGACAGTTTTGATAAGTCATCTATGTGAAAGGTTTTTCCGTGTAGAACATCGTGGAGTTCTTGGCGTACTTGATTTTGGACTTCTTGGTGCTGTGCTAGATACAATAGATTCCACTGAATGGAAGTTGTTGTAATTAAAGTACTAGCGCCGGAGAGAAGTTGGTTGAAGCTATGTGATAAGGTTTTGATCAAGGCATCGTCGTAGTTAAGGATGCCCAAACATACAGTCCCCATGATATCAACTACATAGCGCGTTATAGCTTCAACTGGGTGCAAAGGTACACGATGTCCTTGGTTTTGGACATTCTAGACAACAACAAATTAATTTCATTATTAACAACATAGTTTGAACTTTGTTACTTACACGAATTCCGCAGCAGATTTCTGTATTTGATTTTCAAGTGGTACCTTGGAAGTTTTTATGAAGTTTGTAATAAATTTGTGCTGGTTTTTCCACAGGTCATGTGTTCTATAAGAGATTCCTAATAGAAGAATAGAATTAATTGTTGGTAGTACCTGTAAATAAGTATATAGGTACCTTTATTAGGAAAAATTTTGTTGAAAATGTGACACGGGGGTCGCGGAAGACAATCATGTCTGAATAAAATTTGTTTCAACAATGTTGCATCAGATATGACTACAATGTTCGTCAAACCAAGTTTTACATTATAGATGGGTCCGTACTTTTGTTTTAGTTTTATAAAAGTTAAAGTGGGTAATTTTTGTTTATTTTGGTGAGAGAGCCAAGCAGTGGTAAATTCAAAGGTCCTGGAGGAGATCTATGGAATTCGGGAAATATATACATAAAGATTATAATAACTGCCAAAATAGCTATAGTTGCTGCGACCACTAGAACAAATAGAGTAAGTTAGGGAAGCAAATTAATGAAATTCTGGTGCGTATTTCTTACTGTTTATTTTCTACTTAAAACTAACCACTTTCAGCTTTTAGACAATATCGTAAACAAAACTGCTTTATATACTTACAAACGACCGATAACTGGTTTTTTTGCAATACAAATTAAAAAAAATGTATGCTTAAATTCGCATCGTCTGTGGCAATTATCTTGAACTGGAAACGTATATGTTCTTTCACATTATTTTAATTTAACGAGGAATCAAACAAGAGAACATTGTATTACTTGCACTTTTTTTACACCTGCTGCAGAACTGAATGCGATAACCTTAAAATACAAATTCGACGCGTGGTGTCAGGGAAATGTTAATTAGCGGAAGTTGTAATTTGATTTTCAAGCTTGTTAAGTTTAATATGTTTTTGGGTCCACTTTAATGAGTCTAGATATACTCGTTCGATTCTTGAAATTTAAATTCACCTAAATTAAACAAATTTATCTATAATAACTGTTGCAACACGACGATTCCTGTGTCCTGTGATTTAACAGATCAAATTTATACAGTCGTGAAAGTCAGTTCTTGTGGGTTGGACTGCAATGTAAAACCAAAAGTATAAGACAGATCCACACCCTCGCTGCACTCAATTTTCACTTTCTGTAGAACAGTAGCCACAAATAAAAATATGACCATTTTTGCTAAATCTTTACCCACACACATTCGTTTACCTGAAAAATTGCGTCAAATTTTTACAATAGTGCAAACTCAACGTTACCAATTTGAAACGGAATCAGAGACTCCGACCGACAAAATTTCCCTTCTTCGTTTAAAAATCTGTCAGGACGAAAATCTTGAGGGTTTTTCCAAAATTTTGGGTCCATGTGAACCCTCCATAGTAGCGGGATAATCACACTACTTTTTCGTATTATAAAATGGTCTACATTTATGTCTTCTGATGCGTAATGAGGAAGTCCCAGAGGTACCACCGTTCTAATTCTAGCTACTTCTGAAATGGTCGCTTGTGTGTAAGGTAATTTTAATGAATCTTCAATCTGTGGAGCTTTGGTTCCTAGAACGTCACGAAGTTCCTGGCGAACTTTATCCTGTACTTGTTGGTAGCGGGCTAGGTACAACATAATCCACAATAGAGAAGTTAAAGTCGTTTCGGTACTTGCACCAAAAATCTCAAACAGAAGGTGTTCTAAGTGTTCAGTGGTGTAGATTTCTGGACAGTTGCATTTAGTGCTTTGGTGCCAAAATGTTTGCCTTAAGTTTGGAATCCAGTTGTCGTTGATGGTACTTTTGTTAATGTCTTTTATAATTTGAAGAACTTCACCATTAAATCTTTTGAATGAATCAGCGATGATTTTGTATTTTGGCAAAAATCTGAAACGTGTGTAAAAATTATGTTCCAATATTTCTATGAAATACCTTAGAATTGGGAAGAAATTTAAAGGACCGCCCAAACGACCTAACCTCATTGCACTTTGGATGTTCTTTATTATAGTTTGTCGTATTTTGTCTTCAAGTGTGAACGATGTACCCAAAATTAGGGAACTTGTGGTACTAATGACATAGTGAGCTGCTGCTTCTAAAGGGTTTAAATTTCTCTGATTTCGAACGTACTAGTTAAAAAAAATCAAAAAAGTGTTGAAAAGAGAGTGACAATATTTCTTACGTTAATGAATTCTTCGGCAGACTTTCTAATTTGATCTTCCAAGGTTTCTTTATTTGGTGACCCTTTGGAGACACACGTTCTTAGAAAGTTGTTGACGAGTTTGCGTTTTTCTATCCATACGTTAAGGGGGCAACACACGATTCCTGCAACCAAAAAAAAAAAAAAAGAAATGGATTTATTTTATTAGTCATCTAAATACCCTTATCGCTGAACAAGATGTTAAAAAGATAAAGACGCGATCTGTGAAGCGTGTTGTCATTCATTAAAACTTTTTTCAGTAATTTTGCGTCTGATATGACCACAGCGTTCTCCAGTCCGAGCTTTATGCTATAAATGGGTCCATATTTTTTTGCCAGTTCTGTTAAGCTCAAATTTGGAAATTTCGGATCCAGCTTGTGTAGGTATCCTATTAGTGGTAAGTTCCAAGGCCCTGGAGGTTCTTTTCTCTGGTTGTAGAATTTGTATAGAAAAAATAGGAATGTGATGATTGTGACGAGTAGTGTTGTCAACATCTAGAAAAAACTCTAAGAGGGTCAAGTGTGAAAATATGTGTTTATACCTTAGCAAAACTATCTAAATATGTTTACTCGAACTTGGTCACTGCAATGCACTAATTATGTTTGAATGCAAAGTACTGAATTTCAAGGATTAAATCTTGGAACAGGTTTGTGGTGTTTTCTTCCATGTTAATCGCAAGATTTTTGCATCTTTTATTGTTGCAGTCCATAAACTTACTGGAAAAAATACAATTATTTTTAACAAGACGAAAACATTGTAATTGTTGCCTGTTTTTGCATAAATTGAAACAAATAATTTGCTTTATTATTTTATTAATTATTCATAATAATACCGTAAACCCACATATTATGTTAATAACAAAATAATCAAAACCAGAAAAAGATACAAATTTTGTCACACTAAATTTTTTTCTATATCTTCACAAAAATCAGATCTTGTGGTTTAGGAATTGTGGTTATACCACAATCGTAGGACAGATCTACAGAACCCGAATCGTTACAACCCTCCAATTTAAATTTCTGTAAGACAGTTGCCACAAAAGTAAAGATCATCATACTTGTCACATCTTTACCAACACAAACCCTTTTGCCTGAAACAAGGTTATGAAACCGTTGATTTTCACAAAACACCTATTTTACCAGCTTGAAACGGAAGGAACGATTCAGGTTGAAAAAATTTTCCTTCGTCATTTAAAAATCGTTCTGGACAAAACTCTTCAGGGTTTCGCCATACTTTTGGATCCATGTAGATCGCCCACAGGAACGGCATTATGACAGTATTTTTCGGAATTTTCACATTTTCTACACATACATCGTCAGTGGTATAATGAGGAAAACCCAACGGAAATAAAAATCTTATTCTAGCTACTTCAGCTAAAGTGGCTTCCGTATATGGCAGTTTTGGTAAATCACCTATCTGTGGAGATTTGTCTTGGAGAATATTCCAAAGTTCTTTTCGAACTTTATTTTGGACTTCTTTGAAGTGTGCCAAGTACAGCAAAACCCACAATATCGAACTAATGGTAGTTTCAGTAGAAGCACCGAACATATTAGATAAAAGTTGCAGTTGGCCAGTATTGAATACTTTGTCCACAGATTTATCCAACATGAATGTATCAACTATACTCATTAATTTCTTATCGTTGTCGGTTTTTTCGTTTTGACAGACGATTTTGTTAAGTGTGGTAAAAATTTCGTTTACTAAATCATGAAGTAACTTTACGCCCTTTCTATATTTTGGTAGAAAACTGAAAGTAAATGAAATTAAACTGTGTCGGTTAGGATCGTTTAAAATATAGCGCAAAAATGGTAAGAAATTCACTGGTCCAGAGACTTGATATTGTTTTACTATTTTAAAGAAATTATGTGTCAGAATTTTCTCTAATTTACTGTCACGTCTACCTAAAATTAAGCTGCTGCTTATGTCAGAGACATAGTGTGTTATAGCTTCTGATGGATTTAACGTCACAGAATTACCTTGATTTTGGACATACTAGTGCAACAAGAAAGTCTGTAGTGGATCGTTCAATTATAAATTGGTTCGCTTACTTGGATAACATCTTGAACACTTTGTTTCATTTGATTTTCTAACGCTTCTTTATTTGGAAACATTTTGGTAGCACCTGACACTCTCAAGAAATTACTTACAAATTTTCTTTGATCTTTCCATACATCAGAAGAAGAGTATATGATTCCTAGTGTTCATAAAAAATATTTCGGGCTTATAGTTCTAGTTCCATTTTACCTTTATCTCCAAATATAATGCCCAAGAGATGAAGAGGTGGTCTTGAAAGAGTCGCATCCTTCATTAACACTTGTTTTAGTAATTTTGCGTCAGAGATGAATACGGTGTTGAACGATCCAAGCTTTAGTCTATAGATTGGACCATATTTTTGGGCGAGTTTTAAAAACGACAAATGAGGCGCTTTTGGATCTATTTTGTGTAAATAACCAATTACTGGTAAGTTCCATGGGCCTGGGAGGTAATTTTGACGGCAATAATATATGTATGTAGCTATAAGTATTAATAGTGCTAACGAAAGAACGATTAATTCAGTCATCTGAAATGAAAATTACAATACATTGATATTTTATGTATAAATATTTAAAAATTATTTACTTTGTTGGTGTTTTAGTGACAATTTATTTCTGCTGTTACCATGCACGGTGTTGTATTGACATTGCAAGGAAAATTCTAGAAATTGAAACGGAATTAAACCTGCTGTACTATGTAATACTACTCGGCAAGAATATGCGTTAAAAAATATTGATTTATATGCATTATTAATTATTCACGATTAAAGTGCGTCCTTGTTCTTGAATCTTTCTTCTATTAGCCAACACATAATAATACTGGCTAAGGCAAGTCCACTTTAACAGGGGTTTGCAGAACCTTACAAACTACTGAACAGTAATTAATTATTATTTTTGAAAATGGTTCTCTCAAAAGAGTAATTTGTTCTCTAAACTCCAAAACAAAACAAAACAAAATTGGTCGAAGATTATTTCGGCAAAACTTCCCTCGTCCATGAAGTTACAAAAACTTGTATTAATGTCATCCATATTTTTGCAAGGCACATTCATAGAATTTGATACCAAGCGGTCCAGAAATTTCGGAGATTATCTGTCTAGTAAAAATCGTCACAAACAGACAGACAACCGACAGGTAAATCACACGTCATGGAAGCTGGAAAAACCGAAAATTTAACAAATGGGTGAAACAAATCTTTATTGTTTTATTCTATTTATGATTGACTTAAAATCAAACAGTATCAGTCAAATTATTTACAACTGTACAAACACCAGTTCTTGTGGCTTTGGTAGAGTCAGGAAACTCCACTCATACGACAGATCCACAGAACCTGACTCTAAACCCTCAATTTTAAAGTTCTGTACAACAGTTGCAACAAAGAAAACTACCATTATATTAGCTAAATCTTTACCAACACACATCCTTTCACCTGAAACAGAACCATTAGCAAACACATTGTCTTGCGAATCATATTTTACCAGCTTGGTACGCCAGGAATGACTCCGGTTGAAAAAAGTGTCCAGCGTCATTCAAAAACCGACCAGGACGAAATTCCTCGGGCATCTTCCAAACACCTGGATCCATATGAATGCCCCATAGTAGCGGTACTATCATGGTACTTGCTGGTATAGTATAATTTAGAAATACCATATTTTGTGAAGTATAACGAGGAAATCCTAGCGGTAGCAGCGTTCTAATTGTATCCACTTCGGCCACAGTTGCTTGTGTGTAAGACAGTTTTGATAAGTCATCTATGTGAAGGGTTTTACCGTGTAGAACATCATGGAGTTCTTGGCGTACTTGATTTTGGACTTCTTGGTGCTGTGCTCGATACAATAGATTCCACTGTATGGAAGTTGTTGTAATTAAAGTACTAGCACCGGAGAGAAGTTGGTTGAAGCTATGTGATAGGGTTTTGATCAAGGCGTCGTCGTAGTTGAATATGCCCAAACATACAGTCCCCATGATATCAACTACATAGCGAGTTATAACTTCAACTGTGTGTAAAGGTACACGAAGTCCTTGGGTTTGGACATTCTAGACAACAACAAATTAATTACATTAACAACATAGTTTGAACTTTGTTACTTGGACGAATTCCGCAGCAGATTTCTGTATTTGATTTTCAAGTAGTACCTTGGAAGTTTTTATGAAGTTTGCAATAAATTTGTGTTGGTTTTTCCACGGGTCATGGGTTGTATATGAGATTCCTAATAGAAGAATACAAATAATTAGTAGTACCTGTAAATAAGTAGACAGGTACCTTTATTGTGAAAAATTTTGTTGAAAATGTGACACGGGGGTCGCGGAAGACAGTCATGTCTGAGCAAAATGTCTTTCAACAATGTTGCATCAGATATGACTACAATATTCGTCAAACCAAGTTTAACATTATAGATGGGTCCGTACTTTTGTTTTAGTTTTATAAAAGTTAAAGTGGGTACTTTTTGGTCTATTTTGGTGAGAGAGCCAAGCAGTGGCAAATTCAAGGGTCCTGGAGGAGACCTATGGAATTCGGGAAATATATAGATAAAGATTATAATAACTGCCAAAATAGTTATAGTTGCTGCGAGCACTAGAACAGATAGAGTAAGTTAGGGAAGCAAATTAGTGAAATTCTGGTGCTTATTACTTACTGTTTATTTTCTACTTAAAACCAACCACTTTCAGCTTTTAGACAATATCGTAAACAAATCTGCTTTATATACTTACAAACGACCGACAACTGGTTTTTATGCAATACAAATTAAAAAAAATTATGTTTAAATTCGCATCGTCTGTGGCAAGTAGTACTGTCACATTATTTTTAATTTAACGAGGAATTAAATAAGAGAACATTGTATTACTTGCACTTTTTTAACACCTGCTGCAGAACGGAATGCGATAACCTTAAAATACAAATTCGACGCGTGGTGTCAGAGAAATGTTAATTAGCGGAAGTGATAATTTGATTTTCAAGCTTGTTAAGTTTAATATGTTTTTGGGTCCACTTTAATGAGCCTAGATATACTCGTTCGATTCTTGAAATTTAAATTCACCTAAATTAAACAAATTTAACTATAATAACTGTTGCAACACGACGATTCCTGTGTCCTGTGATTTAACAGATCAAATTTATACAGTCGTGAAAGTCAGTTCTTGTGGCTTGGGCTGCAATGTAAAACCGAAAGTATAAGACAGATCCACACCCTCACGGCACTCAATTTTCACTTTCCGCAGAACAGTAGCCATAAATATAAATATGACCATTTTTGCTAAATCTTTACCCACACACATCCGTTTACCTGAAAAATTGCGTCAAATTTTTACAATAGTGCAAACTCAACTTTACCGATTTGAGACGGAATCAGAGACTCCGACTGACAAAATTTCCCTTCTTCGTTTAAAAATCTGTCAGGACGAAAATCTTTAGGGTTTTTCTAAAATTTTGGGTCCATGTGAACCCCCCACAGGAGCGGGATAATCACACTACTTTTTCTTATTATAAAATCGTCTACATTTATGTCTTCTGATGCGTAATGAGTAGAGAGCGGATTTTATGAAATTTGCATATCCGTTATTTTTTGCATATAAGTCTTGATATTTAAAATGTGGACGAATCATGTTAATTAGAAATGAATACAGCTATAAAAAAATTGCATATTTGCATATATTTGCCTTCTGCTGCATATTTCACGGAACGGGTGCATATTTTGCATTTTTATCAATTTTTGAGCTAATTTGAAAAAAAAATTATTGTCATTCTATCGGCATTTATCTAGAAAGACGAAATTTTATGAATCATATTGGAAATATTCTTCTGAGCTTCAAATAACTAGGAAAGGTTAGGGTTTTATGGTAGTTTGGAGACACCACTGGGTGTTAAGCTATCCTTCCAGGTAAATTCGCGCCCTAATTACTTTTGGAAATACCGTTCATTCTCAATATTTTTGTTTGTTAGTTAAGTGTATTAATGGTACGTTTAGTGGTGGTCGAAGAGACGTTATACTATTATTTTTCATCGTGAGTTTGTATTGAAAGCATTTAAAGGGATACAGGTGTATCAATATGTCGAAGATAACTCAAATTAATTTATGGATTAAACCTTTTCCTGAACTTATTTTTCAAGAACGAACTGTGTTTTGTAGCGCATGCCCTAAACCGGTAAGTATTTTTAAATGTGTGGATGTAGTACGCAGTTTTTCTACATATTTACAAATACATTATACCTGCCTACTTTAGAATCACCGGAAAAACTTGTTGTTACAATATTTCGAAAAATATTAAAAATAAATTGTTACCAAAATAGTAATTAAATAGTGGATTACTACTATTTTTTAATTTGTTCTGTTCATATTTAGTTTTTTGTATAAGAATATTATCTTTAAAAACATGATTTATCTGTTAGTGAGATGTAATTAAACACTATACAAAGTGATTTATGTATTTTTTGTATTAAAACGGAAGCTCGGGAAACCTGTTTTTGTATTTTATAAATAAATTTAGTTCGCTTTTAAGCTTTTTTTTTAATTTTTGAAGCATATGCAACTGCATATGTCTGCATATATTAAGAAAGTTACTGCATATTTGCATAAATTTGGTGCATATCATATGATCATATTTCTCAAAATTTTGCTGCATATTTTCCGCTCTCTAGTAATGAGGAAGTCCCAGAGGTACCACTGTTCTAATTCTAGCTACTTCTGAAATGGTCGCTTGTGTGTACGGTAATTTTAATGAATCTTCAATCTGTGGAGCTTTGGTTCCTAGAACGTCACGAAATTCCTGGCGAACTTTATCCTGTACTTGTTTGTAGCGGGCTAGGTACAACATAATCCACAATAGAGAAGTTAAAGTCGTTTCGGTACTTGCACCAAAAATCTCAAACAGAAGGTGTTCTAAGTGTTCAGTGGTGTAGATTTCTGGACAGTTGCATTTAGTGCTTTGGTGCCAAAATGTTTGCCTTAAGTTTGGAATCCAGTTGTCGTTGATGGTACTTTTGTTAATGTCTTTTATAATTTGAAGAACTTCACCATTAAATCTTTTGAATGAATCAGCGATGATTTTGTATTTTGGCAAAAATCTGAAACGTGTGTAAAAATGATGTTCCAATATTTCTATGAAATACCTTAGAATTGGGAAGAAATTTAAAGGACCGCCCAAACGACCTAACCTCATTGCACTTTGGCTGTTCTTTATTATAGTTTGTCTTGTTTTGTCTTCAAGGGTGAACGATGTACCCAAAATTAGCGAACTTGTGGTACTAGTGACATAGTGAGCTGCTGCTTCTAAAGGGTTTAAAGTTTTCTGATTTCGAACGTACTAGTTAAAAAAAATCCAAAAAGTGTTGAAAAGAGAGTAACAATATTTCTTACGTTAATGAATTCTTCGGCATACTTTCTAATTTGATCTTCCAAGGTTTCTTTATTTGGTGTCCCTTTGGAGACACACGTTCTTAGAAAGTTGTCGACGAGTTTGCGTTTTTCTTTCCATACGTTAAGGGGGCAACACACGATTCCTGCAACCAAAAAAAAATGGACTGATTTTATTAGTCGGCTAAGTACCTCTATCGGTGAACAATATGTTAAAATGATAAAGACGCGGTAGTTGAAGCGTGTTATCATTGATTAAAACTTTTTTCAGTAATTTTGCGTCTGATATGACCACAGCGTCCGTCAGTCCGAGCTTTATGCTATAAATGTGTCCAAATTTTTCTGCTAGTTTTGTTAAGGTTAAATTTGGAAATTTTGGATCAAGTTTGTGTAGATATCCTATTATTGGTAAGTTCCAAGGCCCTGGAGGGTTTTTTCTTTGGTTGTAGAATTTGTATAGAAGAAATAGGAATATGATGATTGTGACGACTAATGTTGTTAACATCTAGAAAATACTCTAAGAGGGCCAAGTGTGAAAATATGTGTTTATACCTCAGCAAGGCTATCTAAATATGTTTACTCAAACTTGGACTCTGCAATGCAGAAATAATATTTGAATACAAGGTACTAAATTTCAAGGATTAAGTCTTGGAACAGGTTTGTGGTGTTTTCTTTTATGTTAATAGCAAAATTTTTGCATCTTTCATTGTTGCAGTGTAATACAAGTCATTTTTTAGTTTATTAGTCTTTTTCTCTATGTTCTATCAGCCAAAGTTTTTTTTTACAGAATATTCAAGTGTTTGCACTGTAAACAAATTCGATAAATAAAAACCGAGAAACCTTGTACTTCGTCCATAAACTTACTGGAAAATATACAATTATTTTTAGCAAGAGGAAAACATTGTAATTATTGCCTGTTTTTGCATAAATTGAAATAAATAATTCGCTTTATTATTTTATTAATTACTCATAATAACACCATAAACCCATTTAATATGTTAATAACAAAATAGTCAAAACCAGATATAGGTACAAACATTGTCACATCAAATTTTCTTCTATATCTTCACAAAAATCAGATCTTGTGGTTTAGGTAATGTGGTCATACCACAATCGTAGGACAGATCTACAGACCCTGAATTGTTACCACTCTCCAATTTAAATTTCTGTAAGACAGTTGCCACAAACATAAAGACTATCATATTTGCCACGTCTTTACCGGCACAAATCCTTTTACCTGAAATAGGGTTAGGAAACTATTGATTTTCATAAAACACACGTTTTACCAGCTTGAAACGGAAGGAATGATTCAGGTTGGTAAAATTTTTCTTCGTCGTCCAAAAATCGTTCAGGACAAAAATCTTCAGGGTTTCGCCATGCTTTTGGATCCATATGGACTGCCCACAGCAACGGAATTATGACACTATTTTTCGGAATTGTCACCTTTTCGACACAAACATCGTCTGTGGTATAATGAGGAAAACCCAACGGAAATAAAGTTCGTATTCTAGCCACTTCAGCTAAAGTGGCTTCTGTATATGGTAGTCTTGGTATATCGTCTATCTGTGGAGGTTTGTCTTCAAGAATATCCCAAATTTCTTTCCGAACTTTATTTTGGACTTCTTTGAAGTGTGCCAAATACAGTAAAACCCACAATATAGAAGTAATGGTAGTTTCAGTAGAAGCACCAAACATGTTATATAAAAGTTCCAGTTGATCAGGATTGCACACTTTGTCCACAGACTTATCCAACATGATTGTATCGGCAAGGTTCGTTAATTTCTTGTCGTTGTTAGCTGTCTCATTTTCACAGACGATTTTATCAAGTGTGGTAAAAATTTCGTTCATTAAATCTTGAAGTGACTTTACGCCCTTTCTATATTTTGGTAGAAAACTGAAAGTGAATCAAATTAAACTGTGTCGGTTAGAATCGTTTAAAATATACCGCAAAAATGGTAAGAAATTCACTGGTCCAGTGACTTGACATTGTTTCATTATTTTAAAGACCTTATGTGTTAGAATTTTCACTAATTTATTATTACGTGTCCCTAAAATTAAGCTGCTGGTTATGTCAGTGACATAATTTATTACAGCTTCTGTTGGATTTAATGTTACAGGATTACCTTGATTCTGGACATACTAGTGCAACAAAAAAGTCTGTGATGACTGGTTCAATTATAAGTTGGTTCGCTTACTTGGATAAAATCTTGAACACTTTGTTTTATTTGATTTTCTAAGGCTTCGTTGTTTGGGGACATTTTGGTGGCACCTGACACTCTTAGGAAGTTACTTACACATTTTCTTTGATTTTTCCACGTATCAGGAGGCGAGTATATAATTCCTAGTGGTCATAAAAAATATTATATTATAGTTCTGTTTCTAGTTCCATTTTACCTTTATCTCCAAGTATAATTCCAAAGAGATGAAGAGGTGGTCTTGAAAGAGTTGCATCCTTCATTAACACTTGTTTTAGTAATTTTGCGTCAGAGATGAATACAGTGTTAAACAACCCAAGCTTTAGTCTATAGATTGGACCATATTTTTGGGCTAGTTTTAAAAACGTCAAGTTGGGCTGTCTTGGATCTATTTTGTGTAAATAACCAATTACTGGTAAGTTCCATGGGCCTGGGAGGTAATTTTGATGGCGATAATATATGTATGTAGCTATAAGTATTAATAGTCCTAACGAAGCATAGATTAATTCAGTCATCTGAAATGAAAATTACAATACGTTGATATTTTATGGTAATTAAAGAAATATTTAAAATTACTTTGTTGGTGTTTAAGTTACAACTGTCCTTGCTGTTGCCTTGTACAATATTATATTGACATTGCAATAAGAATTCTAGAAACTAAAATGCAAATAAACCTGATATACTCTTGAATACTGGTCGGTAAGAACTTGACTCGAGGTTTTTGCGTACGCCAGGACCTATAGTGCCGCATTGATGCGTCACCCCAAATAAATTAAAGAAAATTATTAATTTTTGTTTTATTGTGTAATAAAAAAAGTAAAACATTGAAAAATAAATAATACTGAACACAAGTAAAACGTTTTGTAGATAACATTGATAAAACGAACACAAATAAGTCTTTTATAGTACTACAAATAAAAACAAAACAAAACAAAATTCTTGGCAAAAACAATAAAAAAATATTTGGCGCACTAGAAAATATTTTACAATTTTAAAAAAGACAATTGGGACCCTGAGAAGGTTTTACATTCTTAAAAAATACTTTTGGGGCCCCCGAGACGGTTTTACATTTTTAAAAAGACAATTGGGATTTCCGAGAAAGTTTCACATTAAAAAAAAGACAGTTGGGACCCCCCGAGAAGGTTTTACATTTTAAAAAATTGATCGAAAATTCAAAAACGGAAAAATCGAAGATCCGAAATTTCGAAAATTCGAAAATTGAAAAATCGTAAATTCGAAAATCTAAAAAAAAAAAATAGGAAAACCGGAAATTCCAAAAATCAAAAAATCTATTATAAGTACTCGAAATAGACCAATTGAAAATCGAAAAGCAAAAGTTTGATACTCCAGATTTTGAAAAATCGAAACCCTAAGAGCCCAAATATGCAAAATACGAAATATTGAAAATTTGAATACTAAAAATCGAAAATTCTAATTCCGAATAACGAAACCCATCGAAAATTGGAAAAAGGGAAATTCCAAAAACCGAAAAATCGATTAATCAAGTACTTGAAAAATCTAAAATCTACAAATCGAAAAACGAAAACTCAAAATTTCGACAAACGAGATTTCGAAAAATCGAAAAATTCAAATTTCGAGAAAATTAAATTAAAAAAATTGAAAATTTGAATATCGAAAATTGGAAATTTGAAAAATCGTAAATTTGAAATAGGGAAAAATCGGAAATTTGAAATATGGAAAAATCGAAAATTGAAAAAACGAAAATTCTAGAAAACGGAAAGTCGAAGAATTGAAAAATCGGGAAATTGAAAAAGCGGAAAGTAAAACAACTAGACATTCGAATTTCGAAAAATGAAGAAATCGAAAATCGAAAATTCGAAAATCGGAATCCCAAAAATCGAAAAATGAACAAATCGAAAATGGAAAATTCGAAAATCGGAATCCCAAAAATCGAAATATCGAAATTTGAAAGTAAAAAAATCGAAAACTTGAAAAACTGAAAAATCGAAATAAAACATTTGAAAATTCCATAATCGAAAAATCGAATATTCGAAAAATGGACAAATGGGAAGTTCGAAATTTCGAAAATTGGAAATTTGGAAAATGGCAAATTTTGATATGGAAAAATTGGAAATTTGGATTATCGAAAATTGGAAATATCGAAAAATCGCAAGACAAAAAATCGAAAATTGGGTGAATCAAATGAAAAATTGAAAAATGGAGAAATTGAAAATCGAGAAATCAAAAGTTTGATACTCCAGATTTTGAAAAATCGAAAAACCCAAGAGCCCAAATGCACAAAATACGAAATATTGAAAGTCGAAAAGTCGAAAACTCGAAATTTGAAAAACTGAAATTTCTAGAAATCAAAATTAAAAGAATTAAAATTTGAACACTGAAAAATGGAAAAATCAACAGTCCGATAATTCGAAAATTCGAAAATTTTTAAAATCGTAAATTTCAAATATCCAAAAAATCGTAAGTGAAAAAAATCGAAAATTTTTAATATCGAAAATTGGAAACGTCGAAAAATATAAAGTCGAAAAATCGGAAATTCTAATTTCGAAAAATGAACCCATCGAAAATCGAAAATTCGAAAATTGGGAAAACGGAGATTCCAAAAACCCAAAAATCTAAAATCTACAAATTGAAAAATTCAAGAATCTAAAAATCGGAAACTCGAAAAATTCAAATTACGAGAAAATTAAATTAAAAAAATTGTAAATTTGAATATCGAAAATTGGAAATTTGAAAAATCGTCAATTTGAAATATGGAAAAATCGAAAGTCGAAAAATCGGAAATTTGAAATATCGACAAATCGAAAATCGAAAAATCGAAAATTAGGTGAATCAAATATTCGAAAAAATGAAAATCCAAAAAACTGGAAATTCGTTGTTGAAATATTCGAAAAATCGAAAAGTGAAAAAACGAAAATTCGAAAAGACGGAAAGTCGAGGGATTGAAAAATCGGGAAATTGAAAAAGCGGAAAGTAAAACAATTAAACATTCGAATTTCGACAAATGAACAAATCGAAAATCGAAAATTCGAAAATCGGAATACCAAAAATCGAAAAATCGGTTGATCAACTGCCCGAAAAATATAAAATCTACAAATCGAAAAATCGAAAATTCGAAAATTTTAAATATCGAGAAAATGAAATAAAATAATTAATAATTCCAATATTGAAAATAGGAAATTTGAAAAATTGTTAATTTGAAATTTCGAAAAATCGAAAGTCGAAAAATTGGAAACTTGAAAAATCGAAAATTCGACAAAATAAAAATTCAAAAAAATGAAAATTCAGTGATGAAATATTCGGGAAATCGAAAATTGAAAATACAAAAATTCAAAAAAACAAAGTCGAAGAATTGAAAAATAGAAAAATCGAAAAAGCGTAAAGCACAACAATTGAACATTCGAATTTCGAAAAATGGACAAACCAAAAATCGAAAAATCGTAATTCGGAAAATCGGAATCCCAAAAATCGATAAATCGATTAATCAACTGCTCCAAAAATCTAAATCTACAAATCGAAAAGCGAAAAATCCAAAAATCCAAAAATCGAAATCTTCAAAAACGAAATATCTAAATTCGAAAGTCGAAAAATCGAAAACTAGAAAAACTTAAAACTCGAATAAGACAATTGAAAATTCCAATATCGAAAAATCCAATCTTCGAAAAATGGACAAATGGAAAGTTCGAAATTTCGAAAATGACAAATTTTAAATATGGAAAAATTGGGTGAATCAAATGAAAATCCGAAAATCGGAAATTCCAAAAATCGACATATCGAAAATCGAAAACACAAAAACTCGGGAAATCTAAAATCGAGTGACCTAAAAATTGGAAAAACCGAAATATCAAAAATCGAAAAACCGAAAATTCGACCTTAAAGCGTTCATGAATCGTTTCGTATTTTAAAAGTTAAATTGATACAATTTTGATTCTTTCCCAAAAATCTGCATATCTAGGGTAAAAAATTAACACGGATTCATAAACTACTAGTGCAGAAGTATCTTACTTTATGAAATTGAAATAAAAATGAGTAAATTTTCGAGATGACGTTGCTGGAGATAAGTAGCCAAATTTTGGTTAACACGATAATCCTAATAACAGACATGTAAAATTTGACAAGAATCGCTCCAGTAGTTTCAGAGATTATCTATCAAAATTCGGACAGACGGAAACGAAGCAGCCACTTATTCGTCGACTAGAGTTCATGAAACGTCGAGAAAACATAAAAATAGCCAGTCACCCGATAGACTCGATTGCAATACTTACCATCTTAGTTTTTAGGTAAATTTCTGTTTCACACATGCACGTTGTAAAGAAAATTGTTGAAATAAAAATGCAAAGAAACCTGTTAGCTGTTCGGCGATATCAGTCAACAAAGCTATTATTTAAAATAAAAGAAAAAATTGTTGTCAATACGACGAAAACATTGGATGATATATAAATAATCCCATTTGTAAATAAATTAATTGCTTTATTAATTTCTCGTAACTATAAATAATATTTAGCAAATAAACACAAGTCAGTGGACTTATTTATAACCTCACAAAAAGCAAATCTTGTGGTTTAGGCGTTATTGCTAACCCAGTGTCATACGACAGATCTACAAAACCTGAATTACAACCCTCCAATTTAAATTTTTGCAAAAGACTAGACACAAATATAAAAACTATCATATTTCCCAGATCTTTCCCAACACACATTCTTTTACCTGAAACATAGTTATCAAATTTTTGATATTTAAAAAAAACAACTGAATTTACCAGCTAGAAATGGCATGAACGACTCAGGTTGACAAAATCTCCCTTCGTCATTCAAAAATCGCTCAGGGTAAAACTTTTCAGGGTTTTTCCACGCTTCTGGATCTTGATGAATCGCCCACAACAACGACATAATGACAGTATTTTTCGGAATTGTTACATTATCAACATGTATATCTTCCGACGTGGAATGCGGAAGTCCCACGGGAACCACAGTCCTTATTCTAGCTACTTCAGCTAAAGTGGCTTCTGTAAACGGCAGTTTTGACAAATCGTCCATCCGTGGAGGTCTATCTTGCAGAAAATCCAAAATTTCTTTTCGAACTCTATTTTGGACTTCTTTGAAGTGTGCCAAGTAGAACAAAGTCCACAGAATCGAAGTAACAGTAGTTTCAGTAGACGCACCAAACATGTCGGATAAAAGATGTTTCAGTTGGTCAGAATTGTACACTTTGTCGGATTTGGACCTAGATTTTTGTTCCATAAAGGCGTCGACAAGATTTACCAAGTTCTTAAGGGCGAAGTTTTTATAATTTTGTCAATTGTGGTAAAACTATCACTCATTAATTCTTCAAGAGACTTAAGGGCATTTTTATATTTGGGTAAGAAGCTGAAAGTGGTTAAATTAACCTTCATCGGTTGAAATTTGTCATTACGTACCGCAAAAATGGTAAGAAATTCAAAGGTCCGGTGAACTGTGTTTCTTTTATCAGTCTGTCATAATTATGTGTCAAAGTTTTCAAGAATTGTTTGTCACGTGTCCCTAAAAATAAGGTACTTGTGATGGTAGACACGTAGTTTATTACTGCTTCTGTTGGATTTATAGCCACAGGGTTTCCTTGATTCTGAACAAACTATAAGTTAATAAAAAAATTAGAAGTAATAAGTATTTTAATATATTAAAATGTAAGTTTGTTATTAGCTTACTTGGATAAATTCTTCAGCACACTGTCTCATTTGGTTTTCCAGTAATTTTTTGTTTGGTGACGCTTTGGTGGCACCTGATACCTTTAAGAAGTTACTTACAAATTTTCTTATATCTTTCCACGAATCAAGAGGACTGCATGTTATTTCTGATGGTTGAAAAAAAAATTACGTTCCTATTTTCGTGGTGTAGTTTACCTTTTCCTTTAAATACCTATAACATCAAAAAGATATAGTGATGGTCTTGCAAGGGTTGCATCCTTCATTAAAACCTTTTTCAGTAATTTTCCGTCAGAGATAAATACGGTGTCTATCAGTCCCAGTTTGAGTCTGTAGATTGGACCATATTTTTCGGCAAGCTTGGAAAACGTCAAATGAGGCGCTTTTGGATCTATTTTGTGTAAGTAGCCGATTATTGGTAAATTCCAGGGTCCGGGGAGAGAATTTTGGTTACGATAGTATAGGTATGCAGCTGTAAATATTACCAGTGCTAAGCAAAATAGGATTAGTTCAGTCATCTGGAATGAAAACACAATAACACACTGATATTTTTTCGCGGTGCATTCACAGCAGTCAGGATGTAAACAAGATCTTCGAAGTGTGAACGTCGAGAAACCTGTTGTACTGCGATATCAGTGGGACTATGTATTACTCAGAACCGGCCGTGGTCGAGGAGAGGTCACAAAAATGTAGGACATAGTTATATATTTTTAATTTATTAAAAAAAAAAAAATTGAAAAATTAGAAAAATCTAGTTAAAACTAAAAATAAGTGCTTCCACCACAAAGTGTTTGTTTATAACTCTATAAAAAGCAAATCTTGTGGTTTCGGTGTTGTTGTGAAACCAAAGACATAAGACAGATCTACAGAACCCGAGTTACAACCCTCTAATTTAAATTTCTGTAGAACTGTAGACACAAATAGAAAGGTCATCATGTTTGCTAGGTCTTTACCAACACACATCCTTTTCCCTAAAACACCATCTTTAACTCGTGATATTTTGAAACCCTTATTTTACCAGCTTGGAATGGAACAAATGATTCAGACTGACAAAATTTTCCTTCGTCATTTAAAAACCGCCCAGGACAAAACTCCTCAGGGTCCTTCCACACTTTTGGGTCCATATGAATCGCCCACGGCAACGACATAATGACAGTATTTTTCGGAATTGTCACATTTTCAACACGTACATCTTCTGATGTGTGATGAGGAACTCCCACCGGAACGACAGTTCGTATTCTAGCTACTTCCGCTAAAGTGGCTTCTGTGTATGGTAGTCGTGCTAAATCATCCACCCGTGGGTCTCTCTCTTGCAGAACGTCCCAAAGTTCTTTTCGAACTTTATTTTGGACTTGTTTGAAGTGGGCCAAGTACAACAAAACCCACATTATAGAAGTAACACTAGTTTCAGTAGCAGCACCGAATATATCATATAGAAGATGTTGAAGTTGATCAATATTGTAGACTTGGTCTGACCTACACTTGGATCTTTCCACCATAAACGCACCAGCAAGACTCATTACGTTGAACGGAGTTTCTAAGTTTTCGCAGACAATTTGGTTAAGTATGGTGTGAATTTCGTTCATTGCATCTTTAATAGACTGTACTGCTTTTCTAAGTGTTGGTATGAAACTAAAAGTGGATAAAGTCAATTTAATAGGGGCGATTTTTTTTATCCTACCGCAAAAACGGGAAGAAATTCACCGTTCCAACCATTTGGTTTTGTTTTACAATTTTATCAAAACTATTTATCAAGGTTTTAGACAATTCACCGTCACGTCTCCCTAAAAATAGGCTGCTTGTTATGTTAGAGACGTACTTTGTTACAGCTTCTACTGGATTTAGCGTCACAGATTTTCCTTGATTTTGAACGTACTATTGGGTTAATTAAAAAAAAAAAAGTTTTTTTGTTAATCAATAAGTTTGTCAGCTTACTTGGATAAACTCTTCAGCAGACTGTCTCATTTGGTTTTCTAGGTTTTTTTTGTTTGGGGATGCCTTGGTGGCACCTACCGCTTTTAAAAAGTTGGTTACAAATTTTCTTTGATCTTTCCAAACGTCAAGAGGGCTATATATGAGACCTAATGGTTATATGAAAAATTATTGAGGGTTATCGCGTTAGTTTAGTTTTACCTTTTCCTTCGAATATAATGTCAAATACGTAAAGGGGTGGTCTAGCAAGAGTTGCATCCTTCATTAACACCTTTTTTAGTAATTTTCCGTCAGAAATAAATACCGTGTTTATTGATCCAAGTTTGAGTCTATAGATTGGACCGTATTTTTCGGCGAGTTTGAAAAAAGTTAAATTGGGCGTTTTTGGGTCGATTCGGTGTAAACAGCCAATTATTGGTAAATGCCAGGGTCCGGGGAGGTAATTTTGGCGACGATAATGAATATATGTAGCTATAAGTGTTAACAGAGTAAAACAAACTAGGATTATTTCAATCATCTGAAATAAGAAATACATTAAGGTGATATTTTTTCTGTAAAGAAAAAATTAAAATGACTTACTCTGTTGGTGTTTACGTAAAATTAGGTCGCTGTTGTCATGCACACTGTTCAGATTGTAAACAAGATTATCGAAATTCGTAAGTAGAAAAACCTGTTGTGTTGTTATTTATGTCAGTAGAATATGTATTATTCAGAGGCGCCTCGTGGTCTAGGGTACAGGAGTACATGTCCCCCAAAAATGTGGAACATAATTATGTACATTTTTTAGTTATTAATAAAAATTAAGAATAAAATGAAGAAATCCTAAGGGGATCGCGGTCCTCGCTTATTTCATTTGCCAAAATCGGTCTTATTTTAGCAACTATTAGAACCGCCCACCCACCCTCGCAGTTGGGTCCTGGCTATCACGAAACCGACAGCGTTACGTCATTTCGACCGCCCCTGAATTCTATTCTAACTTGCATCTTTGTGCAGATGGCGCGATAAATCCAGCCAGCTCGACTAGGAACCGCGCACTCCGCTTCCACCACGTGTTTCTGTGTTATTTAACCTCATTTACATTTATATATTCAATTCTTATAACTCGGACATTAAACTACAACTGAACAAGTGTTAAAGTTCAAAAAGACAAAAACAACATTTAAATTCGCCATACAATTTTGTGAAATTTTAAAAAACAAATAATTTTTATTTGAGATTAAGATTGGACAACAGATAATTTGTATGATGGAAATATTCATCAACCAAAATATTTACATAAAAAAACTAGTAAAGATTTGCAAACACAACAGATCTGGTGTGAAATAAAATTTGAGCATAACCAAATTCTTCCCGCCAAAAGAGTTTCGCCTTTGGTATGGTTGACATACTGAGTTACCGTGCTCTTTTGCCTTATTCTTAACCCTACTCCTGAAGATGCCGCTTACGAAAGTGTGCGAAACGTTGAGCCCAAAAACTCAATTTACACGGGTTCAACCCGGAAAACGATCATGTTTTGATTCCGACTGTGGAAGCCTCCGAAATTAAGGAGAGAAATCTTTGATCTCGCAGTTCACGATATTATGAATTTTGCTGGACTTTTCTACGGTCTTTTTCCACAGTAGCACAACGTTAGGTTAATTTAACCGCCGTAAATGACTTATTAGCAATCTTGTGTGAAGAGTTAAAAAGTGTTATAATGTAAGCATCCAGAAACCTTATTCATAATTAGCCAAACAAAATCAAACGAGTCCTGACTAAGTGAATTTCTTGAAAACTCCTAGCAAATGTCTGTTAAATTGTGTTAGCACCAGCTAACGATTAAAGTTCTAACATGAACTGTGAATTTACAAACAATGAATTAAATTTACACTCACCACGTGGTTACATTCACAACAAACACACCAAAAGTGACGCTTTCACCTCTCTAACTAACACTTTAACTAAAATCTCAAGTAGACTATACACTACCCAAAAGCGCTAACGTACACATTGTTGCCTAGGTTTAACGATTTTTTTGATTGCATATTATTTCTCAAATTCAAATTATTATTTTAATGTGATTTAGGGCTGCTGTTAATTAACTTCAGATCGAAAATTTGATTCTAATTTGGTCACCACATTGTTGAATACAGATTTTTTTCTCAATTTTCTAGTTATTCTTTGTTGTTTAATTTAAATTGAAAGTAAATTTTCATGTTCTGCAGTTCCTAACGTCACGTGTTTTTTTGTCTGCACAAGTTTTACTTTACACCAGACCTTTTTTTGTTTTTATAAATCTTTGCTAGTTATTTCTACCACGTAAATATTTTGTTGATTAATGTTTCCATCATATAAACTGTCTGATGTCGGATCTTAATTTCAGATAAGAATTCTTTGTTGTTTCAAATTTTGTAAGAGTGTATGGCGAATTTAAATGCTGTTTATTGCTTTTTTTAAAACTTTAACACTTTGTTGTAGTTTAATATCACAGTAATTGAAAGTAAACATTTAAATGGAATTGGGGTAAATAACACAGAAACACGTGGCAGAAGCGGAGGGCGCGGTTTCTAGTCGAGCTGACGAGATGTATCGCGCCATCTAGTAGCCTGCTCGCGCGGTACGTTCCCTTCGTGATAGACTGCTGCTGGACGGCAGTGCTTGCCGATAGAGTAGAATCACTGTCGTGGTGGAAGAACAGCCACAACCAGGAGCCCCAAACTCCGCTCGTGCTACAACGCCATCTACGGGAAATTTTGCAGCCCAACTTAGTCGCAGATTTTTTTGTCAGTGGAGGAATAAACGTTTTGTGTCCTCCATATATTTTGTGTTTTATTTAGCGGTACCTAGTATCACAAGGTTCTCTTGACGATTTTAACTCTTTTCTAAATTTTATCAATTCTGTCCATCCTTCAATAAAAATCACATACGAAATGGAAAATGATAATTCTGTTTTTTTTTTAGACTTAAGAATTACAAAAAACTTGTCCAATCGTTCATTTTCTTATAATATTTACAGGAAACCCACCACTACTGATACCTAAATCACGAAGCCTTTGAGAGTGAACTTGGTATCATTGCACAAATTGCCATTAATAATAAATTGCCCTTACACTTAGTTACAAAAATTTTCAATGAACACTACATCAACATAAACTCTCCCACAAATTCATATTAATTTCCAATCACAGACTTTCCCTTGCTTTGTCCTCTATCTTCTTGTTCTAAAATATTTGAAAATGGAAAACTTTTAAAATCATAAAATTGAATATAATTACATACTTAAAATGAAAACTAGAAAAACTGCAAGTCAAAAATCGAAAAATCTAAAAATTGAAATATTTTTTCGAAAACAATTTAAAATTTAGTAAAAATTAAATTTTATATAAAAAAATGTAATCCTAGGTTCTGTTATTTATCAATATAAAATCCAACTTCGCTTCCTCAGAACCAATAGTGATGACTGATCGAAAAGGGATAGGGGTGGGTGGGCGGGGCCGCTTTTTACTTTGTTTAAAATCTTAGATTCTACTTCTTGTCAAAATAGAATTCAATTCCCATTTTACGGTAAATAAAATCAGTCAGTGAAATAGAGAAAAAAGGTGGACGGGGTTGAGTTTAGCCTATTTATAAAGAGTCCTATAAGCAAGCAGTAGCCCCATCCACCTACTTCTGTTCATTTTAATGACTACTGTCAATATAGTTCAGTCTTATCTTAGCAAGTATCAGCCCCGCCCACCCACCCTCTATTTTTTTAGAAGGTATGTCATTTGCCAGAATCAGTTTTAACTTGACAAGTAGTAAGCCCGCCCACCCGCCCTCTATTTTCTTAAAAGGTATGTCATTTGCTAAAATTAATGTTAACTTAGCTTAATTTAAGCACTAGGCCGACCCACCCACAGTCTGTTTTCTTAAATTGTATGTTACTTGCTAAAATCAGTCTCATCTTAGCAAGTACTAACCAAAAAAAAAAAATGAAAAATTGAAACATTGGAAATCGAAAAACTGAAAAATCAAAAAATCGAAATATTAAAAACTCGAAAAATTTTCCCTTAGTTTTAAAAAACACAATTAATTAATCAGTCGGTAACACTGGTATAACTAACACAAATTCAGCTTTTGCCGATCACATTTTAGAATTTGGACATTCTTTTCACCGCATTAATAATGTTAAAGACTTACATGTTTTAAACAAAAGCAGCACTATCAATTTTTAGTAGCAATAGAAGTAATAGTAGTTTCAATGGAAGCACCAAAGATGTCAGACAGATTATTGTAGATGTTGTCCGATTTGTACTTTTGAGGTTGTCACCTTTCGAATCTAATTTGTTTTGGAAAAAAGTAATATCTTTTTTGATAATCAAGGACAGTCTTAGGAACAGGTTTAAAAATAAATTGCTGTTGGTGTTTTACATTGTATTTGTTTATGTTCAAGCAAGCGTTAACTGCGTTCTACTTTCTTTGTAATTTATGGTGCTGATATCTTTGCAAGGTCGCGACTTTAATTAATCATTACATTTGCTTTTAACAGCACTGCATTTAGAAACCAGTCAGTGCAATTTTAGACCTTTCGAAACCAAGAACCGTAAGTCAACGGACTATAAAATTAAATCTATAATCTACAGTAACAATTTTAGACCTTTCGAAACCAAGAAACGTAAGTCAACGGACTATAAAATTAAATCTATAATCTATTTGAAATATGTATATTGTAGATGATTTTGGCTGCCTTAGTTATATTAGTTTCAATTATTGTCCTATATATCTACTACGACAACCGAAACCATCTCCCAGGGCCATGGAATCTCCCAATAATAGGTTACTTGCATAAGTTAGACCCAGTGTCACCCCACTTGACTTTGACCAAACTTGCCCAAAAATATGGGCCAATTTTTCGAATCAGACTAGGTTTAGTAAACATCGCCGTCGTTTCTGAAGCAAAATTGCTGAACAAAATTTTGCTCAAAGACGAAACTTTGGGAAGACCGCCACTTTTTATTATGGATGTAATGTTTCGTGGCAAAGGTAGCAATAAAACTTAAAAGTAGCAATTTTTTTTAATTGTTCTTTTCTTGATAGGGTTAGCATACACTCCCTTCAGTCTGTGGAAGGATCAACGTAAATTCACTACCAACTTTTTAAAACTAGTTGGGGCCACAAAATTTTCACCAATCAGAAAAGAATTAGAAGATTTTATAACGAATTATGCTGAAGACTTTGTAGATGTAAGTTCTTTCCATTAATGTAAATCGCTTTCACTACTTACGTAAGTTTTTAAGTAGCATGTAAAGACTCAGGGTAACCACGTCACACTAGACCCTTCAGAAGCTTTGGTACACTATATTAGCAACGTTGTTGGTACTTTAATTTTGGGCAAATCGTTTTCGCGTGATGACGAAAATCGCAAAAGCTTGATGCACAATCTTGAGATAATAATGCACGGAGCTCAGGTTGGAGGAACTCTAAACTTTTTACCATTCTTACGGTACGATGGTAAATATTTTGCTAAAGTGATGCAAGTGGTTTTTTAGGTTTTTGCCAAAATATAGGAAAACGTTAACCACTTTTAGCGACACGGTGGACAAAGTTCGGGAATGTCTAACCGTCTACATTCATGAATATGAAAAGCCTATTTCTAACGACTTTTCTGCTACGAATTTAATTGAAGCGTTTTTGTTGCAACGATCTAAGGGAGGTCCTCCCGAAATTTACAACATGGATCAACTCATTTACCTTTTGTTTGATATGTTTATTGCTGGTACCGAAACAGCGCTAAGTTCTTTAAAATGGGTCATTCTCTACTTAGCACAGTACCAGGATGTTCAAGATAAAGTTCGCAAAGAAGTTGTTGAAGTTCTACATGGAAAAACACTCGAAATGAGTGACGTTGCGAAACTGCCGTACACGCAAGCAGTACTTACTGAAGTATCCAGAATTAGAACTATAGTACCACTGGGTTTTCCCCACTTTGCTGATGAAGATGTGTACGTGGATGACGTGAAAATTGACAAAGGACAAATGATAATGCCGTTGTTGTGGGCCGTTCATATGGATCCGAAAGTCTGGGACCAGCCTGAAGAATTTCGCCCTGAGAGGTTTTTGGACGACGAGAAAAAATTTGTATCTTCGGAGTTGATTCTTCCGTTTCAGTCTGGTAAATAAGTGGTTTGGTAGCAAGGGTAAAGTTAAGTGGTGTGTTTTAGGTAAAAGAATGTGTGTTGGATACGACTTGGCGAAAATGATGATTTATCTATTTGTCGTTGTTCTCGTCAAGAATTTCAAAGTTGGGCCGTGTGGATCCAGTCCTATGGATTTTTCAGAGGTTTGTGGGCTGTCATTAGTGCCCAAACCTCAGAAAGTTGTTTTTGTAAAAATTTAAATGTGGAAATGGTTTTTGTAATACATGTTATAGTCATTGGTTTAGTGTAGCAATTTAAAATGTCCAATATTTGAAAAATTTTCATGACGGAATGGTCTTAAAATGTCCACCGAATAAAATAGAGACATAAAAAGTGGAACTTCAAGCGGCAGGCAACTTTGAATTAAGCCCCATTTGTTGTCCTATCGGTATCCAACAGCGATGGGTATTAGACTGCTCCGCCTCCGCACTGCTGATTTCCATAATCCCTAAACACTTAGAATAAAGTGGACAAGGATCAAAATTTTGTGGTTTGATTACAGACAATTGTGAATTCGAAACGAGAAATTTTTAAAAAATAAACAGTAGAGTGATTTTTTTTAACAATAATGAATCTTTATTTAACAAATTTAATACGCTAGATTTTAAATGGGTGGTAGTATTTTTTTATTAACAGATCAACTTAATCCAGTGAGCAATCGAAAAAACTGACCAATATCGATAATTTGATAATGTTTTCGGTTATTTTATTGTTTTTATGTTGTTTTTTAATTATCATGTTTTTCTTCATTGACTTCATATTCATAATTTATTACATGTTAGTTCTCTTCCAAAAATGTAACTTCAAAATCGAATGCTCTGAATAGTTGCCTATTGAAATACAGCTATTTTTTAAAATTTCAGAAAATTCGTATTTCACACCAAATTTTTCAAAAATATTGTTCCGTGACCCTAAACACGCAATGTTTTTGGAATCAGTAGTCCGTCAAGATGTATAACCCTGAAGTTTTGAGAATTTTTATAAATTCTTAGAAAATGAAATTTCTCACCTTCTCTTTTCTTAGAAGATATCTCATTTGCCAAAATCAGTTTTACCTTAGCAGGTACTAGCCGCGCCCACGTACCTTTCCTCTCTTTTCTTAGAGGGTACGTCAATTGTCAAAATCAGTTTTATTACGAGCTTATTTATATGCACAAGGCACGAATAACATGCCTACACGAGCAGACCGTTACGGCGCAAACTTGCAGTTCGGTCCCGGCTATAACGAAGCCGACAGCGTTACGTCATCTTGACCGCCCCTGAATTCTATTCTAACTTGCATCTTTGTGCAGATGGCGCGATAAATCCAGCCAGCTCGACTAGGAACTGCGTACTCCGCTTCCACCACGCGTTTCTGTTTAACCTCACTTCCATTTATATGTTCAATTCTTATAACTCGGACATTAAACTACAACTGAACACGTGTTAAAGTTCAAAAAGACAAAAACAACATTTAAATTCGCCATACAATCTTGTGAAATTTTAAAAAACAAATAATTCTTATTTGACATTAAGATTGGACATCAGATAAATTATATGATGGAAACATTTATCAACCAAAATATTTACATAAAAAACCTAGCAAAGATTTATAAAAACAACAGTATAACACTTAAGTATTAGCATCTAGAAACCTTATTCATAATTAGACAAACAAAATCAAACGAACCCTGACTAAGTGAATTTCACAAAAACTCCTAGCAAATGTCTGTTAAATTGTGTTAGCAGCAGTTAACGATTAAAATCCTAACATCAACTCTGAATTTACAAACAATGAATTAAATTTACACTTGTTGGCGCAAGAATTAGATGCGCGTGTTGGGTAAAACCGTGGCGTCGTCGGCGTTACGTTTAATTGTCGGTAAACAAAGGCTTCTTCCCTTTTATTAACTACCAAGCCAACTTAACTTAACCTACTCACCACGTGCTTACACTCTCAACAAACACACTAAAAGTGACGCTTTCACCTCTCTACCAAGCCGCCATCTTCTACCAAACCGCCCTCTTCTAACCAACCCTCTAAGTAAAATCTCAAGCAAACTACACACTACCCAAAAACGCTAACGTGCACATGGTTGCTTGTTTAACGATTTTTTTTATTGATTTTTTTCTCAAATTCAAATTATTTAAATGTGATTTAGGCTGCTGTTAATTAATTTCAGCTCGAAAATTTGATTGAAATTCGGTCACCACATTGTTGAATACAGATTTTTTTTGTCAATTTTCTAGTTATTCTTTGTTGTATCATTTAAATTGAACGTAAATTTTCATGTTCTGTTAATCTCAGATAAGAATTATTAGCTGTTTCATATTTTGCGAAAGTGTATGGCGAATTTAAATGTTGTTTATTGCTTTTTTTTAAACTTTAACACTTGTTCGGTTGTAGTTTAATATCAGAGTAATTGAAAGTGAACATTTAAATGGAATTGGGGTAAATAACACAGGAACACGTGGCATGAGCGGGGGGCGCGGTTTCTAGTCGAGCTGACGGGATGTATCGTGCCATTTGCAGGAAAGATGCGGATCTTAAATAGAAGTCCGGGAAGCGGTTTACGGAATATAGTAGAATCACTGTCGTGGTGGAAGAACAGCCACAACCAGGAGCCCCAAACTCCGTTCGTGCTACAACGCCATCTATGGGGAATTTTGCTGTGTTCTAGAATGAAATTGATATAGTTCATTGCTACACTCTTATAGTGATCCGAGTCCCCTCTCAACTTTTGGAGTCATAGGCATTCACGAGGAGGCGCTTTGATGCCGCTGTCGCTGTACAGAGTTTTTATTAAAATTTTGTTCTCGTGTTGACTGCCATAATTTTAAATTTGCCACCACACGTCCGTAATAACTTGTGTACTTGCATCCAGTTACTTTAGTTCAGATTTTTCTTTCTTTTTATTACATTTGTGATATTCAAATATTTGCATTAATTCAGAACGTTTAATTTGATTTCATTCGAAGTTAGGTAAGTTTTTTTTTGTAGCTGAGAACTACGAGGTCTCAGCTTTTTTTCTTTTTTTTTTTTGTCAGTGGAGGAATAAACACAATGTAGGGTTCCATTTTGTTAATTTTTGAAATTTTCGCGGGTTTTTCAAAATTTTTTCACAAGTCAATTTAAGACGAGATGTTTGGGTTATCACAAGGTTCTCTTGACGATTTTCACTCTTTTCTAAATTTTATTAATTATGTCCATCCTTCAATAAAAATCACATACGAAGTCGAAAATGATAATTCTGTTCCATTTTTAGACTTGCGAATGAACCCTACATCAATAATAAACTCTCCCGCTATTTCATACCAATTTCCAATCACAGACTTTTTCCTACTTCGTCCTTATCTCCTTCTTTTAAAATTTTTGAAAAATGGAAAAGTTCAAAAATCATAAAATTGAATATTATTACATGTTTAAAATGAAAACTAGAGAAACTGCAAGTCAAAAATCCAAAAATCTAAAAATTGAAACATTTTTTCGAAAAAAAAAAAAAATAAAAGTTAGTAAAACTTCAATTTTGTTAAAAGTAAATTGTAATCCTAGATTTTGTTATTTATCAACATAAAATTCAACTTCCGTTCCTCAGAACCAATAGTGATGACTGATCGAAAAAGGAGGATGGGTGGGGATTTCACTTTGTATTTTATTTGAGATATATTCTACTCCTCGTCAAAATAGAATTCACTTCCCATTTTACAGTAAATAAAATCAGTCAATGAAATAGAGAAAAAACGTGGGCGGAGCTGAGTTTAGCTTTTTTATAAAGAGTCTTATGGGCAAGCAGAAGCCCCGCCCACCTACCTCTCTTCGTTTCAATGACTAATGTTAATATTGTTCAGTCTTATCTTAGCAAGTACTACCCCCGCCCACCCGCCCTCTATTTTCTTAGAGAGTAATCATTTGAAAAACTACTCTTTACTTAACAAGTAGTAGCCCCGCCCACCCGCCCTCTATTTTTTAGAAGGTATGTCATTTGCCAAAATCAGTTTTAACTTGACAAATACTAGAGCCGCCCACGCGCCCTCTATTTTCTTGGGGAGATATGTCATTTGCTCAAAATTAATTTTAACCTAGCTTAACTTAAGTACTAGGCCCGCCCACCCGCAGACTATTTTCTTAAAGAGCACCTATGTCATTTGCTAAAATCAATTTCGAATCTGATTTGTTTTGGAAAAAAGTAATACCTTTTTTTGAAAATCAAGGACAGTCTTAGGGACAGGTTTAAAAATAAATCGCTGTTGGTGTTTTACATTGTATTTGTTTATGTTCAAGCAAGCGTTAACTGCGTTCTACTTTTTTTGTAATTTATGGTGCTGCTATCCTTGCAAGGTCGGGACTTTAATTAATCATTACATTTGTTTTTAACTGCACTGCATTTAGAAACCAGTCAGTGCAATTTTAGACCTTTCGAAACCAAGAAACGTAAGTGAACGGACTATAAAATTAAATCTATAATCTATTTGAAATATGTATATTGTAGATGATTTTGGCTGCCTTAGTTATATTAGTTTCAATTATTGTCTTATATATCTACTACGACAACCGAAACCATCTCCCAGGACCATGGAATCTCCCAATTATAGGTTACTTGCATAAGTTAGACCCAGTTTCACCCCACTTGACTTTGACCAAACTTGCCCAAAAATATGGGCCAATTTTTCGAATCAAACTAGGTTTAGTAAACATCGCCGTGGTTTCTGAAGCAAAATTACTGAACAAAATTTTGCTCAAAGACGAAACTTTGGGAAGACCGCCACTTTTTATGATGCATGTGATGTTTCGTGGCAAAGGTAGCACATAAAACTTAAAAGTAGCAATTTTTTTTTTGCTTGTCCTTTTCTTGATAGGGTTAGCATACACTCCCTTCAGTCTGTGGAAGGATCAACGTAAATTCACTAGCAACTTTTTAAAACTAGTTGGAGCCACAAAATTTTCACCAGTCAAAAAATAATTAGAAGATTTTATTACGAATTATGCTGAAGAGTTTCTAGATGTAAGTTGTTTCCATTAATGGAAATCAATTTCACTATTTACGCAAGTTTTTAAGTAGCATGTAAGGACGCAGGGTAACCACGTCACACTAGACCCTTCAGAAGCTTTGGTACACTATATTACCAACGTTGTTGGTACTTTAATTTTGGGAAAACCGTTTTCGCGTGATGACGAAGTTCGCAAAAGCTTCATGCACAATCTTGAGATAATAATGCACGGAGCTCAGATTGGAGGAACTCTAAACTTTTTACCATTTTTACGGTACGATGGTAAATATTTTGCAAAAGTGATGCAAGTGGTTTTTCAGGTTTTTGCCAAAATATAGGAAAACGTTAACTACTTTTAGCGACACGGTGGACAAAGTTCGGGAATGTCTAACCGTCTACATTAACGAATACGAAAAACCTATTTCTAACGACTTTTCTGCTACTAATTTAATTGAAGCGTTTTTGTTGCAAAGGTCTAAGGGTGGTCCTCCTGAAATTTACAACATGGATCAACTCATTTACCTTTTGTTTGATATGTTTCTTGCTGGTACCGAAACAACGCTGAGTTCTTTAAAATGGGTCATTCTCTACTTAGCACAGTACCAAGATGTCCAAGATAAACTTCGCAAAGAAGTTGTTGAAGTTCTACATGGAAAAACACTCGAAATGAGTGACGTACCGAAACTGCCGTACACGCAAGCAGTACTTACTGAAGTATCCAGAATTAGAACTCTAGTACCACTGGGTTTTCCCCACTTTGCTGATAAAGATGTGTACGTGGATGACGTGAAAATTGACAAGGGGCAAATGATAATGCCGTTGTTGTGGGCCATGCATATGGATCCTAAGGTCTGGCACCAGCCTGAAGAATTTCGCCCTGAGAGGTTTTTAGACGACGAGAAAAAATTTGCATCTTCGGAGTTGATTCTTCCGTTTCAGTCTGGTAAATGAGTGGTTTGGTAGCGAGGGTAAAGTTAAGTGGTGTGTTTTAGGTAAAAGAATGTGTGTTGGATACGACTTGGCAAAAATGATGATGTACCTATTTGTCGTTGTTCTCGTCAAGCATTTCAAAGTCGAGCCGTGTGAATCCAGTCCTATTGATTTTTCAGAGGTTTGTGGGCTGTCATTAGTGCCCAAACCTCAGAAAGTTGTTTTTGTAAAAATTTAAATGTGGAAATGGTTTTTGTAATACATATTGTAGTCATTGGTTTAATCTAGCAATTTGAAATGTCCAATATTTGAAAAATTTTCATGACGGAATGGTCTTAAAATGTCCACCAAATAAAATAGAGACATAAAAAGTGGAACTTCAAGCGGCAGGCAACTTTGAATTAAGCCCCATTTGTTGTCCTATCGGTATACAACAGCGAGGGGTATTAGACTGCCCCGCCTCCGCACTGCGGATTTCCATAATCCCTAAACACTTAGAATAAAGTGGACAAGGATCAAGATTTCCTGGTTTGATTACAGACAATTTTGAATTCGAAACGAGAAGTTTTTAAAAAATAAACATTAGGGTGATTTTTTTTAACAATAATGAATCTTTATTTAACAAATTTAATACGCTGGATTTTAAATGGGTAGTAGTATTTTTTTATTAACAGATCAACTTCATCCAGTGAGCAATCGAAAAAACTGACCAACATCGATAATAATTTGAAAATGTGTTCGGTTATATTATATTAAAAAACAAATAATTCTTATTTGAAATTAAGATTGGACAACAGATAATTTATATGATGGAAACCAAAATATTTACATAAAAAAACCTATCAAAGATTTATAAAAAAAACAGTATGACACTTAAGTATTAGCATCCAGATACCTTACTCATAATTAGGCAAACAAAACCAAACGAGCCCTGACTAAGTGTATTTCATGAAAACTCCTAGCAAATGTCTGTTAAATTGTGTTAGCAGCAGTTAACGATTAAAATCCTAACATCAACTGTGAATTCACAAACAATGAATTAAATTTACACGTGTTGGCGCAAGAATTAGCTGCGCGTGTTGGGTAAAAGCGTGGCGTCGCTGGCGTTACGTTTAATTGTCGGTAAACAAAGGCTTCTTCCCTTTTATTAACTATCAAGCCAACTTAACTTAACCTACTCATCACGTGGTTACACTCACAACAAACACACTAAATGTGACGCTTTCACCTCTCTACCAAGCCGCCATCTTCTACCAAACCGCCCTCTTCTAACCAACCCTCTAACTAAAATCTCAAGCAAACTACACACTACCCAAAAGCGCTAACGTGCACATGGTTGCCCGTTTAACGATTTTTTTATTGATTTTTTTTCTCAAATTCAAATTATTTAAATGTGATTTAGGCTGCTGTTAATTAATTTCAGCTCGAAAATTTGATTCAAATTCGGTCACCACATTGTTGAATACAGATTTTTTTTGTCAATTTTCTAGTTATTCTTTGTTGTATCATTTAAATTGAACGTAAATTTTCATGTTCTGCAGTTAGTTCCAAACCTCACGTATTTTTTTGTCTGCACAAGTTTCTTTTTTTTTGTTTTTATAAATCTTTGGTAGTTATTTCTATAAGGAAAATATTTTGTTGATTAATGCTTCCATCATATAAATTGTCTGATGTTCGATCTTAATCTCAGATAAGAATTATTTGTTGTTTCATATTTCGCGAGAGTGTATGGCGAATTTAAATGTTGTTTATTGTTTTTTTTTAAACTTTAACACTTGTTCGATTGTAGTTTAATATCAGAGTAATTGAAAGTGAACATTTAAATGGAATTGGGGTAAATAACACAGGAACACGTGGCATGAGCGGGGGGCGCGGTTTCTAGTCGAGCTGACGGGATGTATCGTGCCATCTGCGGAAAAGACGCGGATCTTAAATAGAAGTCAGGGAAGCGGTTTACGGAGTATAGTAGAATCACTGTCGTGGTGGAAGAACAGCCACAACCAGGAGCTCCAAACTCCGTTCGTGCTACAACGCCATCTACGGGAAATTTTGCTGTGTTCTAGAATGAAATTGATATAGTTCATCGCCACACTTTTATAGTGACCCGAGTCCCCCCTCAACTTTTGGAGTCATAGGCATTCACGAGGAGGCGCTTTGATGCCGCTGTCGCTGTACAGAGTTTTTATTAAAATTTTGTTCTCGTGTTGACTGCCATAATTTTAAATTTGCCACCACACGTCCGTAATAACTTGTGTATTTGCATCCAGTTACTTTAGTTCAGATTTTTCTTTCTTTTTATTACATTTGTGATATTCACATATTTGCATTAATTCAGAACGTTTAATTTGATTTCATTCGAAGTTAGGCAAGTTTTTTTTTGTAGCTGAGAACTCAGAGATCTCAGCTTTTGTTTTCTTTTTTTTGTCAGTGGAGGAATAAACACAATGTAGGGTTCCATTTTGTTAATTTTTGAAATTTTCGCGGGTTTTTCAAATTTTTTTCACAAGTCAATTTAAGACGAGATGTTTGGGTTATCACAAGGTTCTCTTGACGATTTTCACTCTTTTCTAAATTTTATTAATTATGTCCATCCTTCAATAAAAATCACATACGAAATCGAAAATGATAATTCTGTTCCATTTTTAGACTTGCGAATGAACCCTACATCCATATAAACTCTCCCACAATTTCATACCAATTTCCAATCACAAACTTTCCCCTGCTTCGTCCTTATCTCCTTCTTTTAAAATTTTTGAAAAATGGAAAAGTTCAAAAATCATAAAATTGAATATTATTGCATGTTTAAAATGAAAACTAGAGAAACTGCAAGTCAAAAATCCAAAAATCTAAAAATCGAAACATTTTTCCGAAAAAAAAAAATATTAAAAGTTAGTAAAACTTCAATTTTGTTAAAAGTAAATTGTAATCCTAGATTTTGTTATTTATCAATATAAAATTCAACTTCCGTTCCTCAGAACCAATAGTGATGACTGATCGAAAAAGGAGGATGGGTGGGGATTTCACTTTGTATTTTATTTGAAATATATTCTACTCCTCGTCAAAATAGAATTCACTTCCCACTTTACAGTAAATAAAATCAGTCAATGAAATAGAAAAAAAACGTGGGCGGAGCTGAGTTTAGCTTTTTTATAAAGAGTCTTATGGGCAAGCAGAAGCCCCGCCCACCTACCTCTCTTCGTTTCAATGACTAATGTTAATATTGTTCAGTCTTATCTTAGCAAGTACTACCCCCGCCCACCCGCCCTCTATTTTCTTAGAGAGTAATCATTTGAAAAACTACTCTTTACTTAACAAGTAGTAGCCCCGCCCACCCGCCCTCTATTTTTTAGAAGGTATGTCATTTGCCAAAATTAGTTTTAACTTGACAAATACTAGAGCCGCCCACGCGCCCTCTATTTTCTTGGGGAGATATGTCATTTGCTCAAAATTAATTTTAACCTAGCTTAACTTAAGTACTAGGCCCGCCCACCCGCAGTCTATTTTCTTAAAGAGCACCTATGTCATTTGCTAAAATCAATTTCGAATCTGATTTGTTTTGGAAAAAAGTAATACCTTTTTTTGAAAATCAAGGACAGTCTTAGGGACAGGTTTAAAAATAAATCGCTGTTGGTGTTTTACATTGTATTTGTTTATGTTCAAGCAAGCGTTAACTGCGTTCTACTTTTTTTGTAATTTATGGTGCTGCTATCCTTGCAAGGTCGGGACTTTAATTAATCATTACATTTGTTTTTAACTGCACTGCATTTAGAAACCAGTCAGTGCAATTTTAGACCTTTGGAAACCAAGAAACGTAAGTGAACGGACTATAAAATTAAATCTATAATCTATTTGAAATATGTATATTGTAGATGATTTTGGCTGCCTTAGTTATATTAGTTTCAATTATTGTCTTATATATCTACTACGACAACCGAAACCATCTCCCAGGACCATGGAATCTCCCAATAATAGGTTACTTGCATAAGTTAGACCCAGTGTCGCCCCACTTGACTTTGACCAAACTTGCCCAAAAATATGGGCCAATTTTTCGAATCAGACTAGGTTTAGTAAACATCGCCGTCGTTTCTGAAGCAAAATTGCTGAACAAAATTTTGCTCAAAGACGAAACTTTGGGAAGACCGCCACTTTTTATGATGGATGTGATGTTTCGTGGCAAAGGTAGCACATAAAACTTAAAAGTAGCAATTTTTTTTACTTGTCCTTTTCTTAATAGGGTTAGCATACACTCCCTTGAGTCTGTGGAAGGATCAACGTAAATTCACTAGCAACTTTTTAAAACTAGTTGGAGCTACAAAATTTTCACCAGTCAGAAAAGAACTAGAAGATTTTATAACGAATTATGCTGAAGAATTTCTAGATGTAAGTTGTTTCCATTAATGGAAATCAATTTCACTATTTACGTAAGTTTTTAAGTAGCATGTAAAGACGCAGGGTAACCACGTCACACTAGACCCTTCAGAAGCTTTGGTACACTATATTACCAACGTTGTTGGTACTTTAATTTTGGGCAAACCGTTTTCGCGTGATGACGAAGTTCGCAAAAGCTTCATGCACAATCTTGAGATAATAATGCACGGAGCTCAGGTTGGAGGAACTCTAAACTTTTTACCATTTTTACGGTACGATGGTAAATATTTTGCAAAAGTGATGCAAGTGGTTTTTCAGGTTTTTGCCAAAATATAGGAAAACGTTAACTACTTTTAGCGACACGGTGGACAAAGTTCGGGAATGTCTAACCGTCTACATTAACGAATACGAAAAACCTATTTCTAACGACTTTTCTGCTACTAATTTAATTGAAGCGTTTTTGTTGCAAAGGTCTAAGGGAGGTCCTCCTGAAATTTACAACATGGATCAACTCATTTACCTTTTGTTTGATATGTTTCTTGCTGGTACCGAAACAACGCTGAGTTCTTTAAAATGGGTCATTCTCTACTTAGCACAGTACCAAGATGTCCAAGATAAACTTCGCAAAGAAATTGTTGAAGTTCTACGTGGAAAAACACTCGAAATGAGTGACGTACCGAAACTGCCGTACACACAAGCAGTACTTTCTGAAGTTTCCAGAATTAGAACTATAGCACCACTGGGTTTTCCCCACTTTGCTGATAAAGATGTGTTCGTGGATGACGTGAAAATTGACAAAGGTCAAATGATAATGCCGTTGTTGTGGGCCATTCATATGGATCCGAAAGTCTGGGACCAGCCTGAAGAATTTCGCCCTGAGAGGTTTTTAGACGACGAGAAAAAAATTGTTTCTTCGGAGTTGATTCTTCCGTTTCAGTCTGGTAAACGAGTGGTTTGGTATCGAAGCTAAAGTTAAGTGGTGTGTTTTAGGTAAAAGAATGTGCGTTGGATATGGCTTGGCGAAAATGATGATGTATATATTTGTCGTTGTTCTCGTCAAGAATTTCAAAGTTGAGCCGTGTGAATCCAGTCCTATTGATTTTTCAGAGGTTTGTGGGCTGTCATTAGTGCCCAAACCTCAGAAAGTTGTTTTTGTAAAAATTTAAACGTTGAAATGGTTTTTTGCAGTAGATATTGTAGTCACTTGGTTTAGTTATGTTGTAAGTCTAGCACTTTGAAATGCCCAATAGTTGAAATAAATTTCATAGTGGAATGAGTACTGGTTTCAGAATTTCCACTAAATGGAAAAATAGTCAACTCTTTTATTACTTTTGTTTTCCTTTTTGATTTAATTCTTCGCGAAGAAATCTTTTTAGAACACCGTTACAAAAAAAAAAAACAACGTAAATTGGGTTTCAGATTGTTTTTATGACCTTGTTGATTGCACGATAAACAGGTTGTTTTAATCATAATTTGTGCAACTGTTGTATAATATAAACGTAAGTAAACCTCTCTATAACTTTAAACACCAAATTTATAATTCGTTTACAAAAATATTTTAGATGCTCGTGGTTGGATTAGTTACACTAGTTTTCATTTTTGTTTTATATATTTATTATGACCACCAGAAATATCCCCCAGGACCATGGAATTTACCAATAATTGGTTATTTACATAAGTTAGACCCAGTGTCACCCAACCTGACCTTGACAAAACTTGCACAAAAATATGGACCAATTTTTCGAATCAAACTAGGTTTAGTAAACGTCGTCGTGATTTCCGAAGCTAAATTACTAAAAAAAATTTTACTCAAAGACGAAAGTTTGGGAAGACCGCCACTTTTTATGTTACGTGTGATATCATCTGGCAAAGGTAACCATAAACACAACACCAACAACTGTTTAGTTTGTTCTTTCCCTGACAGGATTGGCGTACAGTCCACTCAGTGTGTGGAAAGATCAACGCAGGTTTACTAGTAACTTTTTAAGATCAGTTGGGATCACAAAATTTTCGCCAGTCAAAAAGGACCTAGAAGATCTTATAACACATTATGCTGGAGAATTTGCAGATGTGTGTTTGCTACTTTAGTGTAACGTCAATTATTATCTATATATTGTTTTAAGTAGTATATTAGTACTCAAGGGAACAGAGTAACTTTGGACCCTTCAGAAGCCCTCATGCACTACGTCAGCAACGTCGCTGGTACTCTAATTTTGGGTAAATTTTTCTCGCGTGATGACGAAGTTCGCAAAAATTTAATGCACAACCTGGAGACAATAGTGTTTGAAAGTCAGCTTGGAGGAGCTTTAAACTTTTTACCATTTTTACGGTACGTGGGTACAATTTTTGAAAAAGCGGTACCACTTTTTTTCAGGTTTTTGACAAAATATAGGAAAACATTAACCACTGTTAGCGATACGATGCACAAAATTCGAAAAAGTTTAGTTGTCTACATTAATGAATGCGAAAAGACATTTTCTAGCGACGATTCTGCTACAAATTTCATTGAAGCGTTTCTTCTGCAACGATCAAAGGGTGGTCCTCCAGAAATCTATAACCTGGACCAACTTATGCATCTCTTATTTGATGTTTTTACCGGTAGCACCGAAACCACACTGAGTTCGTTAAAATGGACCATACTATACTTAGCACAGTACCAAGATGTCCAAGATAAAGTTCGCAAAGAAGTTATTGAAGTTCTACATGGAAAAACACTCGAAATGAGTGACGTACCGAAACTGCCGTACACGCAAGCAGTACTTACTGAAATATCCAGAATTAGAACTATAGTACCATTGGGTTTTCCCCACTACGCTGATGAAGATATCTACGTCGATGATGTTAAAATTCGAAAAGGTACGACGATAATGCCGTTATTGTGGGGCATTCATATGGATCCTAAAGTCTGGGAAAAGCCTGAGGAATTCCGCCCTGAGAGATTTTTAGACGACCAGAAAAAATTTGTACCTTCAGAGTCGATTCTTCCCTTTCAGTGCGGTAAATGAATGCTTTAATAGTGAGGTGAAAGTTAAATCGTCCGTTTCAGGTAAAAGAATGTGCGTTGGAGATGAGTTAGCAAGAATGATTATATATATATTTGTCGCTGGTCTCGTCAAGAATTTCAAACTTGAACCGTGTGAATCCAGTCCTATAGATTTTTCAGGAATTTGCGGGATAGCACTACTGCCCAAACCCCAGAAAATTGTTTTTGTAAAGATTTAAATTTTAAAATGCGAGTGTGATTATTTTCAGAGTTTTCTTTCAGGATATTAATACATATATTGTTCTTACTTGGTTTATTTATAAATGTAGTAATATGTAAAACTCGATAATTGAAATAAATTTTATAATGGAATGAATACTGTAAAGTTTCAAAATTTTCACGATATATAATAAAATACAACATAAGGCGTGGGGATTTGAGGATTATGTTCTTTTGAGGATTTCAGGATTATGGTGTTCTAGGATTATGGTGTTCTGAGGATGTGCAGATTACGATGTTCTGAGGATTTGAGTATTATGGTGTTCTTAGGACTTGAAGATAATCTGAGAATTATGATGTTCTGAGGATATGAGGATTAAGATGTTTTGAAAATTTAAGGATTATCGTGTTATGAGTTTTTGAGGATTATGATGTTCTGAGGATTTGAAGATTATGGTGTTCTGAGGATTTGAGGAATGTGGTATTCTGTGAATATATGGATTTAGGTGCTTTGAGAACTTGAGGATTATGGTGTTTTGAGGATATGATTGTTATGATATTTTGAGGATTTGAGGATTATCGTGTTTTGATCATTTTGAAGATTATCGTGTTTCGACATTCTGAGAGTTTGAGTATTATGGTGTTCTAAAATTTGAGGATTATGATTTTATGACGATTTGAGGATTAAAATGTTCTGAGGATTTGGATCTTTTTAGGATTTGAGGTTTCTGGTGTTCTGAGGATCTGAATATTAAGGTGTTTTGAAAATTTAAGTATAATGTGTTCTGAGAATTTGAGGATTATGATGTTCTGAGGATTTGAGGATTATGATGTTCTGATTATTTGAAGATGATGATTTTCTGAGGATTTGAGGATTATGGTATTTTGAAAATTTGAGAATTATGGTGTTCCGAGAATTTAAGGATTAAGGTGTTCTGAGGATTTGAGAATTAGGGTGTTCTGAGGATTTGAGGATTATGGTGTTTTGGGGATTTTAGAATTATAGTGTTCTGAGGATCTGAGGATTATGATGTTCTGAGGATATGAGGATTAAGATGTTTGGAAAATTTAAGGATTATTGTGTTCTGAGTTTTTGAGGATTATGATGTTCTGAGGATTTGAGAATTATGGTGTTCTGAGGATGTGAGGCATGTGGTATTCTGTGAATATATGGATTTAGGTGCTTTGAGGACTTGAGGATTATGGTGTTTTGAGGATATGAGGGTTATGGTATTTTGAGGATTTGAGGATTATGGTGTTTTGATCATTTTGAAGATTATCGTGTTTTGACATTCTGAGAGTTTGAGGATTATGGTGTTCTAAAATTTAAGGATCATGATTTTCTGACGATTTGAGGATTAAAATGTTCTGAGGATTTGGATCTTTTGAGGATTTCAGGTTTATGGTGTTCTGAGGATCTGAATATTAAGATGTTCTTAGGATCTGAAGATTAAGTTGTTTTGAAAATTTAAGGATCATGTGTTTTGAGAATTTGAGGATTATGATGTTCTGGGGATTTGAGGATTATGATGTTCTGATTATTTGAAGATTACGATTTTCTGAGGATTTGAGGATTATGGTATTTTGAAGATTTGAGAATTATGGTGTTCTGAGAATTTAAGGATTAAATTGTTCTGAGGATTTGAGAATTAGGGTGTTCTGAGGATTTGAGAATTAGGGTGTTCTGAGGATTTGAGGATTATGGTGCTTTGGGGATTTGAGAATTGTGGTGTTTTGAAGGTTTGAGTATTATGGTGTTCCGAGGGTTTGATGATTACGATGTATTGAGAATTCGAGGATTATGGTATTTTGAGAATTAGAGGTTTATGGTGTTCTTAGGATTTGAGTATTATGGTGTTCTTAGGACTTGAAGATAATGGTGTTCTGAGGATTTGAAGATTAATATGTTCTGAGGATTTGAGAATTATAGTTTTCTGAGTATCTGAGGATTTAAGTGCTTTCAGGACTTGAGGATTATGGTGTTTTGAGAATTTGAGGGTTATGGTATTTTGAGGATTTGAGGATTATGGTGTTCTCAATATTTGAGGATAACGATGTTCTAAGAATTTGAGGATTATGGTATTTTAAAAGCTTGAGGATTATGATTTTCTGACGATTTAATGATTAAAATGTTCTGAGGATTTGAGGATTATAGTAATCTGTGAATCTGTGATTTGAGAATTAGGATGTTCTGAGGATTTGAGGATTATGGTGTTTTGAGGATTTGAGAATTATGGTGTTCTGAAGATTTGAGGATTATGGTGTTCCGAGGGTTTGACGATTACGATGTAGTGAGGATTCGAGGATTATGGTGTTTTGAGGATTAGAGGATTATGGTGTTCTTTGGATTTCAGGATTATGGTGTTCTTAGGATTTGAGGATAATGCTGTTTTGAGGATTTGAGGGTTATGGTGTTCTGAGTATTGGAGGATTATGATGTTCTGAGGATTTGAGTATTATGGTGTTCTGAGGATTTGAGGAATATAGTATTCTGTGAATATGTGGATTTAGGTGCTTTGTGACTTGAGGATTACGGTGTTTTGAGGATATGAGGGTTATGGTATTTTGAGGATTGGAGGATTATGGTGTTCTCAGTATTTGAGGATAACGATGTTCTAAGAATTTGAGGATTATGATGTTTTGATTATTTTGGGGATTATCGTGTTTTGAGTATTTGAAGATTATGGCATTCTGAGAGTTTGAGGATTATGGTGTTCTAAAATTTGAGGATTAAAATGTTCTGAGGATTTGTATCTTTTGAGGATTTGAGGTTTATGGTGTTCTGAGAATCTGAAGATTAAGATGTTCTGAGGATCTGAGGATTAAGATGTTTTGAAAATTTAAGGATTTTCGTGTTCTGAGTTTTTGAGGATTATGATGTTCTGAGAATTTGAGGATTATGTTGTTCCGAGGATTTGTGGATTACAATGTTCTGAAGATTTGAGGATTACGATGTTTTGAGGATTTGAAGATTATCGTGTTTTGAGTATTTGAGCACTACGAAATTCTGAGGATTTAAGGGTAATATTGTTCTGAGGATTTGAGGATTACGATGTTGTTTGGATTTGAAGATTATGGTGTTCTGAGGATTTGACGAATATGTTGTTTTAAAAGTTTGAGTATTATGGTTTTCTGACGATTTGAGGAATAAGATGTTCTTAGGATTTGAAGATGGTGTTTTGAAGATTTAATAGTTATCGTGTCCTGAAGATTGGATAATTATGGGGTTTTGTGGATTTGGGGATTACGATGTTTTGAAGATTTGAGGATTAATATGTCGTGACAATTTGAGAATTATCGTGTTCTGAAGATTTGAGAAATATGACTTGAGAATTTGAATGTCATGGTGTTTTGAGTATTTGTGAATTATGGTGTTTTGAGGATTTGGGGATTATGGTATTTTCAAGATTTGGGGGTTCTGGAGTTCTGAGGAATTGAGGATTATGTTGTTGTGAGGTTTTGAGTTTTGTGGTGTTCTCAGGATCTAACGATTAAGACTTTCTGTTAATTTGAGGATTATCGTGTTCTTAGGAATTTAGAATTACGATGGTTTGAGGGTTTGATGTTTATGGTGTTTTGAGGATTTTAGATTATGTTGTTTTGAGAATTTGAGAGTTATGGTGTTCTGAGGTTTTGAGAAAATCGCTTCACAAATAACTTAGAAAATAGCGGATAAATCCTGGCGCCTCCACCATTTTTGACAAAATTTTAAAACCACTCCAATTATCTTGGAGATACTTCTATCCTATCGGAAATTTTCTCATAATTACGAATCTGTGCTTATTTTTGTTGTACTTCCACAAATAACTTAGAAAATCGTGCCTATATCTGGACACCTCCACCATTTTTGACGAAATTTTAAAACTAATCAAATCGTCTCAGAGAGACCTCTATCTTATTGGAAATTTCTCAGGATCACGAATCTGTTCTTATTTTTGCTGTACCTTCACAAATCATTGTGTTTTGAGATTTGAGGATTTTTATGGTTTAAGGTGCAATTTTCAGTTTACTTTCGAACAATAAAAACTGAGACGTTTGAGAGATTTACTTTGTTTACCAACTAATTAGAGTACTGCACTCAGTCTTAAATTTTACGAAAATTCTGGTATAAACAACTGTTATTTGTTAACATGAATAAATAAATATTTAATTTTCCTAATTTTACACACGTTATGACGTCTCTAGGTCGGCTTTAGCAATGTTTTTTATATGTACGACACCATCAGTATAATCAGTTTAAAATGTCCGTATTTAAATTTATTAAATTATTACGTACTAAAAATTTCTATGGCCAGACAAGTACTCAGCAAAAAAATTAAGCAATTTAAAATACACTTGACATAGAACGCTAGAAAATAATCTAAGGATCTTAAAAGATGAATAGTGGAAAACAACTGAAGAAACACTTTCTTTGTAAAGCAAACTCTAAATTATCACTTTTGAAATGCTACTTTTATAAACACATTTTATTTAACCATGAAGTTTTTGAAAACTAATGAAATTAATCTTAGTTCTGAGACCACAATCAAACTACAAACATCATCTCCCACCCATCTTCAACTCGTTTACAGCTTAGCCCGATAACATTCCAACCCGTCTTACTAACTCCAAACTTTCCACTCATCACCATAAAAACCGCAAATCCGCATTTCACAAATTCGTGTAAATACCACCGACCTCGCACAATTATCTGATAAGTCTCTATTTGCTCACAAACAAACCCATTCCTAAAACCCCTCATTATGGAGGAACGCAGCGAAGCCAGACAACATCTCTTGAACCACGATGAAACCCAGGCCTTCCAAAGGTAAACCCTCAAACTCTGTTCAACTTTGTTTTCAACTAACAACCTCTTTAAGAGCCCCTTCACACCACCGCAAACCCCGCCGAAGAATAATCCTCAAGAACGGAAAATGCAACATCCACCGCCCGGCATCCAAACGCCAACGATTCGCGTTCTTGAGGTTCACCAAGCTCGTGGACGCCTCATGGACTTTTACCATCGTGGTGTTTTTGGCGACGTTGCTCCTGTCATGGTTGCTTTTTGCGGTGATTTGGTGGTTGATTTGCTATACCCATGGCGATTTTGAACCAGACCATCTACCACTAGTGCAAAAGGCAAACAAATTTACGCCTTGTGTGTACCACATCCATAATTTCGGATCGTGTCTTCTGTTTAGTATTGAAACGCAGCATACTGTGGGGTATGGGATTAAAGCCACTACTGACGAGTGTCCGGAAGCCATTTTTGTCAACGCGTTGCAGTGTATTATAGGCTTTATCATGCAAGGTATTATGGCTGTTATCATTTTTTCCAAAATGACACTTCCTAGATTGCGTTCGCAAACTCTTCTATTTTCCAAGAATGCAGTGGTTTGTCCTAGAAACAACAAACTGTGTTGGATGTTCAGGATGGGCGATATGCGTAAGAACCACATCATAGATGCTAGAATTAGAGCTTTCTATGTTCGGTCAGAACGTACCATAGAAGGACAAGTTCTAGATCACCACCAAGTTGAAATACCAGTGACTGTAGATGGTTGCAAAAGTGGGATTTTCTTCAACTGGCCGTTGGTAGTGTTCCACAAAATTGATAAAAAGTCGCCTTTGTATTACCTAGCACCTAAAGACTTAACCCAAGACCGTTTCGAAATTGTGGTACTGTTAGAAGGTACCACTCAGAGCACTGGGCAGATGACACAAGCCAGGACGAGTTATATGCCAACTGAGATTTTTTGGGGGAAGAAGTTTCAAGGGCTGTTAAATTTTAACTACGACAGAAGGGAGTTCGAAGCGGACTTTTCCAAGTTTGATGAACTTCTGCCAATTAGTACTCCGCTGTGTTCTGCTGCTTACATAGATGAGTATAATCATATGCAACCCAAGTCACGTGAGTATTTCTATCGGATTTTTTACACGTTTGTGTTTGTAGTTTGTAGTTCTAGATCTTCAAGTCTTCATCTAGATTTTACCCCGAGGCACAGCCTAGGCGAAATCGCCGTGGGGAAACTGAATCACAACGTTATCAATGTTGGTAGTTCCAGTGGCAATGAGAGTGACAGTGATCACGAGAGGAACAGGACGTGGCTAAATCTCCAATTATGACAGTATTTAATGAAGAGCTTTATCTTGATTGTACTTCTAGATTTAATAATAAAGTATATTTGTTTTCTAATAACTGTGACTATATTTAATCCCTTGTGGCGTGTTCTATTCATAGTTCAGTATATTGTAAAAGGATTAACTCTCTACCAGTTCCGTTTCTTATCTACTTCCACATGTAGGTAGCAGCATCGTTTAAGTATATGTATCGGATAAATCAAAAATCGAAACATCGCAAAATCGAGAAACCGAAAAGCAAAAAATCAAAAAACCAACAAATCGAAAAATCGAAACGTTGTAAATTCAAAAATTGAGACATCGAGAAATCGAAAAATCAATAGACAAAAAAATCGAGGAGTCCAAAAATCGAGAAGTCGAAAAATCAAAAAATTGAGAAACCGAAATAGGCCAAAATCGAAAAATCGAAAACTTAAATATAGAAAAATTGATAAAGCGAGAGATTGAATAATCAAAACATCGAAAAATCCGAATCTCAATAAATTGAGATCTCAAAATATTAAAAAATTCGGAAATTTGAAGAATTAAATTATAAAACTGGAAACTCGAGAAACCGAAAAAAATTAATAATTTAAAAACTGAACAGTTAAAATTGAGAAATCGAAAAACTAAAAAATCACAAAATTGAACGAAATATCAAAAAAAAAATAGGAAATTAAAAAATTAAGAAACAGAAAAGTCAAAAAAGCAGAGTCAAAAAATCGCAAAATTAAAAAATCTAAAAATTGAAAAATCAAAAACCTGAATAATCGAAAAATTGAAGAACTGAAAAACTGAAAAATCGAAACTTTAGGAAATGGATAAATGGGAATCTAAAAAAATAGATTAATTGACAAATCCGAAAACTAAAAATTCAGAAACGTCAAAATTTGAAAAATAAAAAAATATTGAAGAACTGAAAAATCGAAAAATCTAAAATTTAAAACATTGAAAAGTTAAAATATCTTAAAACTGAGAAATGGAGAAATCCAAACATTAAAAAATCAAAAAAATGAAAATTCGAAATTCTAAAATTTAAAAATCGAAAAACTGAAAAATCAAATAATCGAGATGTCGAGAATTTAAAAAATTAGAAAACTGAAAAATCGGATAAATCAAAAATCGAAACATCGAAAAATGGAGAAACCGAAAAGAAAAAATCAAAAAACCAACAAATCGAAAAATCGAAACATTGTAAAATTCAAAAATTGAGACATCGAGAAATCGAAAAATCAAAAGACAAAAAAATCGAGGAGTCGAAAAATCGAGAAGTCGAGAAATCAAAAAATTGAGAAACCGAAATAGGCCAAAATCGAAAAATCGAAAACTTAAATATAGAAAAATTGATAAAGCGAGAGATTGAATAATCAAAACATCGAAAAATCCGAATCTCAATAAATTGAGATCTCAAAATATTAAAAAATTCGGAAATTTGAAGAATTAAATTATAGAACTGGAAACTCGAGAAACCGAAAAATCTTGAAATTTAGAAATTAACATATGGAAAAGTTGAAAAATTTAGAAATTGAAATATAAAACAATCGAAAAATTGAAAAATCTGAAGTATAAAAAACAAAAAACTGAAAATCCAAAAATAAAAAATAGAAAAATCTGGAAGTGGAAAAATCAAAGAATCGAAGTATTGAAAAATATTAAAACTGAAAGAAATATCCAAAAATTGAGCAATCGAAAAACCAATAAAGCGAAGTCGAAAAATCGAAGAATTGAAGAACTGAAAAATCGAAACTTTGAGAAGTGAGAAAATCAAAAATAGATTAATTGAGAAATCAGAAAACTGAAAATTTAACTCAAAAATTTGAAAAATTGAAAAATTTATATACTGAAGAATTGAAAAGTCAAAAAATCGAGAAATCGAAAAACTAAAATTTAAAACACTGAATAATTAAAATATCGCAAAATTGAAGAATCGAGAAATCTAATTCAATTTGAAAAATTGAAAAATCGGGACATTGAAAAATTGGAAAATCCAGAAATTGAAAAGCTCAAAAGAAAAATCGGAGGATCAAGAAACTGAGGAGTCGGAAGCCGAAAAGGAAATTAAAAGAATGAATAATCGAAAAATTTTAAAAAAGACAAATTCGAAAATCGAAAAATTGAAAAATTGAAATATAGGAGAACTGAAAACTCGAGATATCAAAAAACCTAGAATTTTAAAAAATGAAATATTAAAACAGCGAAAAGTTGAAAAATTGAGAAATCGAAGCATTAAACAGTCGCAGAATTGAAAAATCTAAAGTTTACAATAAATTGAAAATCTAAAAAGTAAAAAATCGAGAAATCAAAATAAATCCATCAATTCAAAAATCGTAAAGTCGAAAAATTGAAATATTGAAAAATTTCATAACTGAAAGAAATATTCAAAAAATTGAAAAATTGAGAAATCGAAAATCTAAAAAAGCAAAATCGAAAAATCGTAATCTTAAAAAATCGAAAAATTGAAGAATTGAAGATGTGAAAAATCGAAACTTTAGGAAGTCCAGAAATGGACAAATAAAAAAAATACTTTAGAAATCGGCAACCTGAAAATTTTGAAACGTGAAAATTTGAAAAATCGAAATATTTAAAAACCGTAAAATTGAAGAGGACAAAAATTGAGAAATCGTATCATTGAAACATCGAAAGATTGAGAAATCGAAAAATAAAAAAATCGTGAAATACAAAATTCGAAGAATGGAAGAATCGGAAAAGCCCAAAATTGAAATATTGAAAAATTTAGACATTTAAAGTTGAAAAATCGAGAAATCGACAAGCCGAAAAATCTCAATAGCGTACTTAGGTATAAGTCACAAGATCAGGACTATGCTACTTTTTAAAATTTAAATAACATTATAAATTGGAAAATGTTGATTTTTTTTCCAAAAATCTTGACGTCCAAGGTGAAAACTCGACACGGATGCATAAACCGTAAACGGGGGATATACTATTGTAAAATTTGGAGATTGCGTCATTTCAAATTTTGGTGAATATTTTACCATTTGATAATACAATTTGAAATGTAAATTTTGTCATTCGGGAACATTATGTATTAAATCGTTAAGATGTTTAACAACTTTGTTCACTTATTCGTTGTAAAGTCCAATGGTCGAAATGGGTTAGTTCTTCGTAGTGGATGTGTATCAGATCAACTCTAACGAATGTCGCCTTATAGATAAACCGCTTAGAGTCGATATTGGCCTGAGTGTGCTTTGGTCTGTACATCAAACAAGTTCTCAGGCGACGAAAAATTGCATGTGGAGGGAGACTTCGGATTACAAATCGTGCCAAGAAAGACATATTTGGGAGAGATGGATTTTCAGGTGCTTGACTAGCGGTAATTTTAAATTGTTTGCTGTCGTTCGCGAAGTGAAGAACACAATTTCATTAAAATGATAATTATAAAATTATCATAATCATAAGTATCATATTAATTAACACAAAATGGCGCGCAAGTTATGAGTTGATTTCGTTAATAAATTCATAGAAACCTATATGGAATTTTTTCATGCCTTAGAAAATTACTAGTTCAAGAAACAATTAGTTATCTCGTATTTTTGGAACAAAAGCAGCCTTTAACAACTCGATATTACAAACATAATATACTTAAACAATGGTAGCAGCTTTTAATATGACATATGCAACCAACAATACACCACAAAACATTTTAAAATTCACTATTATTTACGTTATTTATCATATTTATTCTTCTTACTTCCTTTTTTTCATATTTTTCGTCCCAAATTAGACAAAATAGCGAAATGTTAACGTAATACCTTGAAATAAGTTTTTTCGGAAAATAGTAATCTTTTTTACTTGTTACTGTTATAAAAATAAACTGTGCATTAAGTTTTAGATTGTGGGTGATTTATGATGTTGACCAGTCAGATTCACGATAAACAGGTTCTGTTGTTCTACAGTCATATAATTAGAGTGAGTCTTGCGCAACGTAAACGTAAGTGAGAGTAACATTAAACATTAAATTTATAATTTGTTTACACAATTATTTTAGATGCTCGTAGCCGCACTGGTTATCTTAGTTTCCATTTTTGTTCTATATATTTACTACGATCGTCAAGAACACCTTCCAGGACCATGGACCTTACCAATAATCGGTTATTTACATAAGTTAGACCCAGTGGCACCCAACCTGACCTTGACCAAACTTGCACAAAAATATGGGCCAATTTTTCGAATCAAACTAGGTTTAGTGAACATCGCCGTGATTTCCGAAGCAAAATTGTTAAAAAAAGTTTTACTCAAAGACGAAACTTTGGGAAGACCGCCACTTTTTATGTTACATGAGATGTTTGGCGGTAAAGGTACTAACGAAAAACATAACACTAACAATGCTTTGAGTTTGTTCTTTTCTGAACAGGATTAACGTACAGCCCTGTCAGTTTATGGAAAGATCAACGCAAATTTACTGCTAACTTTTTAAAATCAGCTGGAATCACAAAATTTTCACCAGCCAGAAAGGAATTAGAACATCTTATGACGAATTATGCTGAAGACTTTGTAGATGTGTGTTTGGTACTTTAGTGTGACATCGGTTATTATCTATATATTGTTTTAAGTAGCATGTTAGTACTCAAGGGAACAGAGTGACTTTGGACTCTTCAGAAGCCCTGGTTCACTACGTCTGCAGCATCGCCGGTACTTTACTTCTGGGTAAATTGTTTTCCCGTGATGACGAAAGTCGCAAAACCTTAATACACAATCTTGACACAATATTGCATGAAGCTAAGCTTGGAGGAGCTTTAAACTATTTGCCATTTTTGCGGTACTTTGAAAAAATATGTTGAAAAAGTGATAAAAGTTCTTTTTTTTAGGTTTTTACCGAAGTATAAGAAATCATTAGTCGCTTTTAGGGAGACGATGGACAAAGTTCGAAAAAATCTAGCTATGTACATTAATGAATGCGAAAAAACATTTTCTAACGAGGACTCTAGTACTAATTTTATTGAAGCATTTTTGCTGCAAAGATCTAGAGGAGGTCCTCCGGAAATCTATAACGTGGACCAACTCATATACCTTGTATTTGACGTTTTTCTTGGTAGTACTGAAACTACAATAAGTTTGTTAAAATGGATCACCCTGTACTTAGCACAGTACCAAGACGTGCAGGATAAAGTACGCCAAGAGTTTGTTGACGTTTTACAAGGAAAAACTCTAGAAATGAGTGACGTACCGAAATTATCGTACACACAAGCTGTACTTAGTGAAGTATCCAGAATTAGAACTCTGGTACCACTGGGATTTCCTCACTATGCTTCCGAGGATATCCACGTTGATAATATTAAAATTCGCAAAGGTACAACAATAATGCCGTTGTTGTGGGCTATTCATATGGATCCTAAAGTCTGGGACCAACCTGAAGACTTTCGACCTGAGAGATTTTTAGACGAAGAGAACAAATTTGCACCTTCTGAGTCGTTTATTCCGTTTCAGTGCGGTAAATGAATGTTTTGATAGAGAGGCAAAAGTTAAGTTGTGTGTTTCAGGTAAACGAATGTGCGTTGGAGACGAGTTTGCACGAATGATGATATATATATTTGTTGCTGGTCTCGTCAAGAATTTCAAAGTTGAACCGTGTGAATCCATTCCTATTGATTTTTCAGGAGTTTGTGGGCTATCATTAGTGCCCAAAGCACAGAAAGTTGTTTTTGTAAATATTTAAATTAATTTGGGAGGCTTCCACGGTTGGGACAGTGTCAATTGAGTTTTTGGCCTTAACGTTTCGCACACTTTCGTAAGTGGCATTTTCAGGAGCAGGGTTGAGGAATTAGGAAGAAGGCACTTACGAAAGTGCGCCTCTGGTATGGTCGACAGACTGAATTACCGTGTTCTTGTGCCTTCTTCCTAATTTCTCAACCCTGTTCCTGAAGATACCAGTTACGAAAGGGTGCGAAACGTTGAGCCCAAAAACTCAATTGACACGGTCCCAACCCGGAAAACGATCATATAATATTCAAATTTTACATTGGAAGTGATTAGTTTTAGACATCTTTGTTAGTATATATTGTATCACTTGCTTGATTTATAAATATCGTAATTTGAAATTTTGAATACTTCAAATAAATTTTATAACGAATTGAACAAAATTTTACATTTTGTCGACCTTTCATGATCCCTAGAGTAAGAAGAAATAGGTCTCCCTTTTCCGTCTTTCGTCTGTTTGTCCGTCTGTCTGTCTGTTTGTCTGTCTGTCTGTCTGTCTGTTTGCCATTACGGATTTTTATGAGTCAGATAATCTCCGAAAGTACTGGGCCGATTGTTGTCAAATTTTGTATTTATATTAGGAATATCCTGTCGCAAAATTTTGTATTTTTACTATATATTGTGATAACCCAAACTTCCCGCCTTTAAATTGACCTTGAAAGATTTTGAAAGGAACGCGAAAAATTCAAAAATTCAAAATTTGGCCTTAGCTGTGATCGTCTAACAAATGGGAACCTACGTTGTGTGTGTGTGTGTGTGTTTTTTTTAAAGTGGCGGGAAGACGTTCTTTCATACAATTGCATACACTGTGTGTGATTCGAGAGCGCAAGAAATAATAGACAAGCGGAGTTTGGGGCTACCGGTCTAGGGCTGTTCTCCCCCCACGTCGGTGATTCACAAAGCCTACCCGCACGCATATTTCCATTACGAACGTGCCCTGCGGAACTAGGCCATTACAGTCGCCAGACCCGCAAGTGGATCTCGACTACTGGTCCAAGTTGAGAGCAATAAACGACATTTAAATTCGCCATACAATCTTGTGAAATTTTAAACAACAAATAAATCTTATGTGAGATAAAAATTGGACATCAAACAATTTATGATAGAAACATTCATCAACAAAGTATTTACAAAACAAAATGAAACAAAAGATCTGGTGCGAAATAAACTTGTACGAATAGAAATATTATGTGAGGTTAAAACTGTAGAACATGAAATTTGGGTTGAATTAAAATTATACAACGAATGAAAATTACTGAGGTTAAAATTGCGAGATTATAGAAATATTGTATGAGGTGAAAAGTTGCAGAGTTAACAAAATTTACATGAGATCAATAATTGCCACACTTTTTCAATGATTCAAACAAAGAGTTTACATTATGTCAAATTATATCATGACCTAAGTGATTGGTTACTTCAAAAAAAAACAATTTTCTTTGAGACTTTAAAATACCGTGAACTGGTTACCTCAACAAAACACATAATAAACAAACATAAAAATATCCAATCATCGCTTCGAGAAAAAAAGCGTCGCGAGGACGGACCTCGATGAATGAATCAATCTGTAGCGTTGTGAGGGCATGCCTCGATGAATTAATCATGATAACGATGACAACCACCTAAGGGAAGAAATTATCATAACCCCCGCCAGTTCGCAGTGTAATGAACTTGTTTAACTGCAGTAAATGAACTATTAGCAATCTTGCATTCAGAAACCTATTCGTAATTAAACAACAAGGTATTTTCCTGACTAAGTGAATTTCATGAAATCTTCTAGCAAGTGGTTTATTTAAATAATCCTGATTGTTAAACTGTGTTTGCGCTAGCTGACTATTAAGAAAAACTAACTTGATTGGTGAATTTACAAACAATGAAGCAAATTTACAGCACGTGTTTCGCGTTGACCGGAAGTCCGCATTTTCCGATAAAAGGCCGCAAGAATTAACCGCGCGGGTTGGGGGGACATGAGTGACGTCAGTTACGATTGATTGTCATTAAACAAAGGCTTCCTCCCATTTTATTAACTACCAAAACCAACTAATTTAAACCTAGCTCCTATCACGTGGTTACACTCACACCAGCACATTCAGAATGACGCTACGCCATGCCGCCCTGTCTCTACCAATCAACCAACCTTGTAAATAAAAACCCTTAGGGCTAAATCGTCCGATTACCAAGCAAGCATTTTCGTGCACCAGGTTGCCTATGTTTAACGATTTCCTTTTTTGTGATTGAATTTTTTTTTCTTTGAAATTCAAATTATTCAAGCGCGATTTCGCGCCGCTGTTAATTAATTAGATAATGCCAACGTGGCTGGCGAAACGCGTCTACAAATATTTTGTGTGTTTTCGGTATTCTGGAAGTACACGTTCTATAAAATACAAAATATTCGAAGGATTGTAAAATTTAATATTGCATTTTGCATACAATCCGACCCTTATTTATGATGATATTTTGCAGAGTCACCACCTTGGACATTTTTCTCGATCATTTACTAGAAACACGTTTTTCAGCTTAGAAAATCAAATTGATCTCTTATTTTCACAATTAAAGAACCGGTTAGTTTCACGACAAACAACTTTTCATAATCTACACAGTCATACAATTTGTACGGTTCTTGTGTAATGTAAACGTATGTGTATTTACGGTCAACATTAAATTTATAATTAGTTTCAAAAACTATTTTAGATGCTGCTAGCTGCTCTAGTTATATCACTTTCCATTTTTCTTCTATATATTTACTACGATCAACAAAAACACCTCCCAGGACCATGGAATCTACCAATAATCGGTTATTTACATAAGTTAGATCCTGTGGCACCCTACCTGACTTTGACAAAACTGGCACAAAAATATGGGCCAATTTTTCGTATCAACTTGGGTTTGGTAAACATGGCCGTGATTTCTGAAGCAAAATTGCTAAAAAAAATTTTACTCAAAGACGAAACTTTGGGAAGACCGCCATTTTTGATGTTACTGGAGATGTTCGGCGACAAAGGTAGCAAAAAAACATTACATTAACAATACTTCCAGTTTGTTCTTATCTTGGTAGGAATAGCGTACAGTCCAGTCAATGTGTGGAAAGGACAACGCAAATTTACTACGAACTTTTTAAAATCAGCTGGGATTACAAAATTTTCACCAGCTAGGAAGGAATTAGAAGATCTCATAACGAATTATGCGGAAGACTTCATAGATGTATGTTTATTAGATAAATGTGACATCGCCTATTATCTATATATTTTTAACTAGCATATAAACAGTCAAGGGAACAGAGTGATTTTGGACCCTTCAGAAGCTCTGACACACTACGTCAGCAGCGTCACCGGTACTGTACTATTGGGTAAATCGTTTTCGCGTGATGACGAAGTTCGCAAAAATTTAATCCACAATCTTGACATAGCAATGCGTGAAGCTCAGCTTGGAGGACCTTTAAATTTTCTACCATTTTTACGGTGCGTCAGTAGATTCATTTAAAAAGTGATAGAATTTTTGTTCCAGGTTTTTGCCAAAATATAGAAAATCGTTAACAGCTTTTAGGGATACGATAAACAAAATTCGAAAAAGTTTGTCTGTGCACATTAATGAATGCGAAAAGACATTTTCTAACGACGACTCCGCTACAAATTTTATTGAAGCGTTTTTGTTGCAACGTTCTAAAGGAGGTCCGCCGGAAATCTATAGCGTGGACAACCTCGTGTACAACTTATTTGATGTTTTTACTGGCAGCACTGAAACTACAATAAGTTCATTGAAATGGATCATTCTCTACTTAGCACAGCATCAAGATGTGCAAGATAAAGTACGCCAAGAATTTGTTGAAGTTTTACAAGGAGAAGTACTCGAAATGAGTGACGTCCCGAAACTATCGTACACACAAGCTGTACTTAGTGAAGTGTCCAGAATAAGAACTCTGGTACCACTGGGATTTCCTCACTATGTTTCTGCGGATATCCACCACGATAATGTTAAAATTCGCAAAGGTACAACGATAATGTCGTTATTGTGGGCCATTCATATGGACCCCAAAGTCTGGGACCGGCCTGAAGAATTTCGCCCTGAGAGATTTTTAGACGAAGAGAAAAAGTTTGCACCTTCTGAGTCGGTCCTTCCCTTTCAATGCGGTAAATGAATGCTTTGATAGTGAGGCAAAAGTCAAGTGGTGTGTTTCAGGAAAAAGAATGTGCGTTGGAGATGAGTTTGCTAAAATGATGACATGTATATTTGTTGCTGCTCTGGTCAAGAATTTTAAAATTATACCGTGTGAATCCATTCCTATTGATTTTTCGGCGGTTTGTGGACTAACATTAGTACCCAAACCACAGAAAGTTGTTTTTGCAAAAATTTAAGTTTTAAATTCGAAGTGATTAGTTTTAAACTTTTTTGTCAATATGTGTTGTATTCATTTGGTTGATTTATAATATATTGTTACGTTGAGCGGGCGAATAAAATCGGCGTGGGTTAAACTCAGCAATTTCTTTCTTAATAACTTGAATTACATGACTAACTATTACAGCGATTATGTACAGAGTAACTTCGTGGTTCACTTGGATGAATTCGCTCACTCGCTGGACTCTTTTGGGGTCATCCTGTATATGCAAATCCAAAAAACATGAATGGAATGATAAATCACAAGAAGAGACTCATCATATTTTATACAATTTAGATAGGATTTATTCAGCAAAATTTTGAGGTGACGTCATCAATTTTTTAGAGTGGGTAAGTAAATATATTGTGATTAAAACGGTCTTGGTTTAATAACAAAAGAATATTGTTCGTCTATAAAACAAGCTCGTCTTAGACAAAGTATTCGTAAAAAAATATGTCGTAAAAAATTACGTATGCTGGTCCCGACTGCGATTATGGTTTAAATATTTTTTAGAAAATCCTGTCATGGATGTAGAAACATTTGTGACAGCCAAAGAGGTTTTTTTGAGAAAATTATCTTTGAATTTAGACCAAATTGAAATAGACACTAGGCAACAGGCACATTTGGGCAAAAGAAAGAGAAATTAGGGTTACGGTTTCAAATTTTGGACGTATTCACAAACTTAAACCGACTACAGCAATAGCTAAAACTGTGGAATCTCTGTTGTGCAGTACATTTAGAGGTAACAGTCATACATACCATGGACAGCAAAGTGAGGAAAAAGCTGTCAAGTGTTTTGAAATAAATAAAAATATAAAAACTGAACGGTGTGGCTTGTTTATTTCAAAACAATTTCCTTACTTGGCTGCTAGTCCAGACAGGGTTCTAGAGGATAGGAGTGCATTAGTCGAAATTAAATGCCCTTCACAATCGCAAGATTTATCTCCCGAAGAAGCGGTTAGAAAAAAAATAATCAAATTTTGCACATTGACAGACAGAGAATTGAAACTAAAAAAAAATTATGATTACTACTTTCAAGTCCAGTGACAAATGCTTGTTACGGTATTTCACAAGATTATTTTGTTGTATGGACACCCAAAGGAATAAATTTAGAAAAAATTTATAAAGACGAAGAAATATATGTAAAAAGATGGCAGATAAACTTGGCAGATTTTGCTTCGGCGCTTTATTGCCCGAAATAATTGATTCAAGAAGAAAGAGGAACCTGCCTTTGCGAGAGATTATTTTAAAATAAATAAAATTTGTTTCTATTTTTTTATGTACTTTAATAATTTATTAGGAGTAGGTTTTTCATCACCAAGACTTGCATATTTTAATTATAAATATATTTTGAAAATGATCTCTCGGCAAATAAAAACATATACGAGCACTTTTTTCGAGTAAACAATGAAGGGAAAAATTACTGGGCGTAGGGCTTTTTTAAAACACCTCCTTCCTGGGATAAGTAGTAGATATACTTAGCTTCTTATACGTGTTAAACAAAAGCTGTATTTTACATATTTTTATTATTATTTTAAATATGTTTATTAGTTTTATTAATTAAGAAAGCAAAATATATATTAACAATAATATTACAATGAATTTTTAGTAATCATGTGTATTGAATTCAGGGTCCTGAGTGGAGTAAAAATATTATAGTTCCCCAGTTTTAATTCGGTTTTATGATAGTACCTCATTGCGTAAAAGTTAATTTCTCTAACAATAGATTACTACGGCCGGTCCTGGCGGCTTGTTATAAAACTGAGTTCCTTGCCATAAATTAGAAAAATCAGCCGAGAACGCTAACAAGCAGCTTATGGTAAAGCAGGCGATAAGAGTTTTACCTGGAAAGTCGCTTCCGTAAATTTTAGTGGCGCTCCTATCGGCAAAGTACTGAACTAACTGCTATTCTGTCGAATTGAAACCTTTTTTGTTCAATAATTGTTAGTTTTTGTTAAAAACTCTGCTAACCAATGGATCATTAATTTTCCTCTGATATTCCTGTTAAAATTATTCGACGTATTTTGCATTAATTTGTGGTATATTTTGATTTGAATAAACACATTATTATTTAAACAAATTGTACCACTAACAAACATTTAATGACTCTGCGCCCTGTAAAAAGTGATGTTTTATCCATGTGCGAATTTTCAAGCGATTCTATGATGGTTATGACTCAAAAAACTTGAAAAGAAAACATACAATGGTGCTTTTTTTACGATATTTCTCAGCATTATTTTTTTAATTGATTGAACTGGTCTCTGTGCCCTAGAATATGAAAAAAGCTGCAGTTTGATGTATGATATATCTATATTAATATCATTTTTTTAAATAAAAAGCTAAAAAAATGTTATACCTCGTCTAGCGAGTCCCCTTAAGGCAAAATAAGTACAATTTCTTAGAAAAGTATTTAAACCCCTTATACGATCAAAGGCTGCCTGGCAGGCCTTAATCACCAGAGTGCAACTTTAAATTTTCAGATTTTTGTTGAAACTCATTTTATTTTAATCAAGTTTCACGATTTCTGAGAATATATCACGATAAATTATTCTATCGAGGGTTGTAAAAATATTAATTTTATTGCCCAAGATTTACACTAAAACATAATCGGCACATTCTAGGGCAAAACGGACCTGCCAAGCCCGCTTCGCGTTAGGTCCAACAATGAAAAAGTGAAGAAATGACACATGTGGCAACAGGAAAAGATGCTACATTTGTCTGAAAAATAAAGGTATAAAACAGTAACAAATATGCGATTTATGCGAGAGAAATATATCTATTGAACATTCGATTAGTCGATTACAGAACTAATTTGTGCTAATTGAAAAAATTAATCATTATGTAACACGCAATTATTATTTTCTAAAATTAATAACATACCTTAAACAAATATTTTTACTATTAAAATTACTCTTATTTAATAACACAAATACAACCAACGGGCCTACCGGACCCGGGTTGCTCAGGTACAGATAAAATGCATTGCCCCGATAAGCGTAAAACGCTGTGAATAGTGAATTGTGGTTTATGGTTTTTAAAATACCATCTTACCATGGCTTAGATTTATTACCCCTCAGGATTATATTTAAAGATGTATAAGTACTGAAGGCTACAATGTAGGAAATGATGGTATTTAAAATATGAAAATTTACGTGACAAAACACTATTAGTGGACCTCTTACCTCTATTTTTGTTTATGTGACCAAAATTACCAACATGAAGTATCAAAAATGACTACTAGAGTAACTCAACTAATAACTACTGAAAAAAAGTGAAATAAAAAAATGTATCTGTATCTGCGCCATTAATTTTGTATCTAGATTCTAGATACAGATATTATGTGCTTAAATTCGATTGTATCTAGATACAGATACTAGATACCCAAAAATGTATCTAGATACTTTATTCAGATACAAGTATCTAGATATTGCCCAACACTGGGTATAGGGGTACAAGAAGTTGTGGTTTAATTCGTCAAAAAATTGTTTTTGCTTCATTTAATGCGTTTTGGAATAGAGTTTTTTTTTGAATTTATGGCTGGAGCACAATCATACTTTCTTTCTGATTAAAATGCCAAAATAAATTATTTCAAATAAGAATAAATAAAAAAAGAAAGATGGCATAGCTACATTTGAAAATATACTGATTTCCATAAAAATCCGAACAGCTTGAATTAGTTGACTGATAAAACTGAAAGTAAGCTGATTTTTAAGTTGCCTACCAACATGAAGCAAAAGTGTATTATGTGCAAATGAACTAATGAAAGCGTTTTATTTTTTAAGAGAAAATTAATAACTTCGGATACGTGTTTAATTTATGTAAATTTACAACGCAGAGTTAAAACTCCATCCGTGCGTCCCTGGGTCGACGCACTCTTTTTTAATTTTTTATTTTTCAAATAGCCCCACGGCTATTGACGGAATGTCTCCAGTTCGCATTATTTTACTAAAATATGTCCTTCATCGGTAAATTGTAGTAAAATTGAAAAATATGCAAAATATGCATTTTTTTTAAAGCCCGTTGTTTCTGTATAACAATGCCACTTTTTAAGGAATATGCATTTTACATAGAACTTAAGCCTTATTTTTGATGTTGTAATTTTGCAGGGTCACAACTTTACACATTTTTCTCTATGAGTTAGTAGAAACATGTTTTTTAGCTTAGAAAATCACATTGATTTCTTATTTTCACAATTAAAGAACCGGTCAGTTTCACGACAAACAGGTTGTCTTAGTCCACACACTCATACAATTAGTGTGGTTCTTGTGTAATGTAAACGTAAGTGTGTTTACTGCAAACATTAAATTTATAATTAGTTTCCAAAATTACTGTAGATGCTGATAGCTGCTCTAATTCTAATAGTTTCTACTTTTCTTCTATATATTTACTACGACAATCAAAAACACCTCCCAGGACCATGGAATCTACCAATAATCGGCTATTTACATAAGTTAGACCCAGTGTCACCCTATCTTACCTTGACAAAACTAGCACAAAAATATGGACCAATTTTTCGACTCAAACTAGGTTTAGTAAACATCGTCGTGATTTCCGAAGCAAAATTGCTAAAAAAAATTTTACTCAAAGACGAAACTTTAGCGAGACCGCCATTTTTTATGTTACGTGAGATGTTCGGCCTCAAAGGTAGCCACAAAAACATTACATTAACAATATTTCCAGTTTGTTCTTATCTTGGCAGGAATAGCGTACAGCCCACTCAATGTATGGAAAGAACAACGCAAATTTACTTCTAACTTTTTAAAATCAGCTGGAATGACAAAATTTTCACCAACCAGAAAGAAATTAGAAGATCTCATAACGAATTATGCTGGAGACTTCGTAGATGTATGTTTATTAAATTAGTGTAACGTCGCCTATTGTCAACATATTTTTAAATAGTATATAAACAGTCAAGGGAACGGAGTGATTTTGGACCCTTTAGAAGCTCTGACACACTACGTCACCAGCGTCTCCGGTACTCTACTTTTGGGTAAATCATTTTCGCGTGACGACGAAGTTCGCAAAAATTTAATACACAATCTTGACATAGTAATGCATGAAGCTCAGCTTGGAGCAGCTTTAAATTTTTTACCATTTTTACGGTGCGTCAGTAGATCCGTTTAAAAAGTGATAGAACTTTTGTTTCAGGTTTTTGCCAAAATATAGAAAATCGTTAACAGCTTTCAGGGATACGATAAATAAAATTCGAAAAAGTTTGTTTGTGCACATTAGTGAGTGCGAAAAGAC